TTTTTTTTTTTGAGATGGGGTCTCACTATGTTGCCCATACTGGCCCTGTGTAAATTCAGGTGCTGGATCTTGTGCTCTGACTTTACCTAGTACCTGCAGAAAGCCGGGTCCCTGCCCCGCCCCCAAATGAGCTTACCAACCCACAAAGACTTAGGTCTTCAAGCCCCGCCCCTGGCCTGATAGGCCAATCCCCAGCCCCACAAGCGCCCAGGCCCCGCCCCCAAGAGCACGCAGTTGCTACACCTGGCTTCTCCGCGCGCTAGGGCAGAAATGCCAGGCGGGCGCGGGCGCGGGCGCGGGCGCGGGCGCGGGCGCGGGCGCGGGCGCGGGCGCGACTACCCGCTCACCGGTCGGCACTGGCGTTCCATTTGCTTGTCACACAGGGTCACTCGGGCGTGCAGGTAGAGCGTATCGCTATTTAAGAAGCGGAACAGTTTGAAGGCCAGCGTCACCTGGAGAGAGGCCCCGTTGTCGGGTAGACCGTGGAGCAGCCGGCTGGGGACTGGGCAGCTGTGGGAAGAGGCAGCAGCACCAACTGATTAGCGTCCTGGCTGGGGGCCGAAGGTGCAGATGCACCAACGATGATTTCCTTCTGTTTACTCGCCCTGTGTAAATTCAGGTGCTGGATCTCGTGCTGAGAACTTTACATGAATTATTTCATTTCATCCTCACACCAATTCTAGGAGGAAGGCCATACTTTTGCCACCCTTTCTTTTTTGATGATGGGGAAACTGAGGCTAAGGGAAGTCAAATAGATTACCTGAGGTTCTACAGGTAACAGCCCGGCTCCAGCATCGGCCTATACCCTTAATCAGTAGGTTATATTTCCTGCTAACAAAGTAGGAATTGTGAGTTGTTGATGTAACCCAGTAGAGCACTGGCCTAGCATGCTGGACACAGTAAAGTGCAAAATAAAAATAAAACTAGTAACAACTCAAAGCTGGGATAAATTCATGGGTGCTGTGTTTCATGACTCATTCACAAAGATTGTTTGGAGAAATGATTCAGACAATGAGTGATTCCCTGTACTCTTTGAAGACTTAATATTAGTAGTCAGGAATCTCATCTCTTCCTAGACCGTTGAGAATAGGACTTGGCCTTACTACCTCCTGTCCTCAAACATTAGTAAAGTCTGTCACTTAAACAGTTTGTGTGAACTGAGCCTTAATTTCTCCATCTATAAGATGGGAATGAAAAATAACTGTCATAGAGTGCATTGAGAGGCTTAAATTAGTTATATATGTGAAGATATTAAAACTGGATTGCAGGGGTAACTACTATGTCAGTATTAGTTATCATTAGCTATTATTTGCAATGCATGTCCAACATTTAGAATGTAGCACTCTGAACTATTAGAATTATTTTTTGGTTTTTCATCTTGTCATTGTAGGATCTCAATAACTGAAGAAAAATAAATGAATGTCATTTATTGGATGTGCATCCTTTTTTTTTTTTTTTTTGGTACCAGTGATTGAACTCAAGGATGCTCAACCACTGAGCTACACCCCCAGCCTTATTTTGTATTTGAGAGACAGGGTCTCAATGAGTTGCTAAGTGCCTTGCGATTGCTGAGGCTGGCTTTGAACTCTCAATCCTCCTATTTCAGCCTCCCAAGCTGCTGGGATTACAGGTGTGCACTACCATACCCTGCGGGATGTGAAGTCTTGAAGAGGTTTTAATCTCCCTGAGCCTTAATTTACTCTTTTGCAAAATGGTAATGATAATGCATTCTAATGTATTCGTTCAATAAACATTCACCCAGTGCTTACTTTCTCCCCATGTTTGCAATACCAGGCATACAGAGAAGAATGACACAATCTGTGCTCATGGGTACAAAAGCACCCAACATAAGCCACAGTCTTAAGAGCTGGACTGGTACTGGTAGGAGGTTACTGGGGCTTGAGAGACACTTACCTCTCATTCACAAAGTGGTAGGTCGCCTTAATGACCTTTTTGTTGGAGATGTTGGCGCTGACAAAGACCTCATTGACCACCAGAGCAAATCTGTTGGGATCACTGCTTGTGGCATTGAGAACTATGTAGAGGGGTGTGCCAAGGTGAGCTGTTCTGTTCTTGAGTGGAGCTGAGAGCTGAATGTCTGTAAAGATGCTCAGGAAGATGATAGTTTCCCCAGTACTGGGAAAGTGGATAGTCCTATATCCAAAAAGGGACAAGAGTGAGAATCTCACCATGAAATCTCAGAGGGAAGGACACTCTCACCTTCTGTCTCACCCAAAGTCACTAAGCTCTGGTAAGCTTAGTGACTTTGAATAAGGAGAGGAGCAAACCTGCTCACCTTCCTCCTGAACTGCCTAAAAATGAGGTGCCGCCTAATAGATCCCCACTCAGGACCCTTGAAGCCACCCAACCCCACAGTAGTTTACATAAGCATCCCATAATGCATTGCTTCATAGAAGCATCTTTTTTCTCTAATGCTTTGAGTCGCCATCTAAGAGGTTCTTATATCTAGCGGGTAGACACAGGGAGTCCAATATCTGAGGTGTTGACTTTTTGACTTGATTAGAGGTAGCATTGAGAACTCAGGAGCCTCCCAGGGACCAGAGAGATAGGCAGCTGACAGGGGAAAACTCACGGGATGGAGTCCACTACTTCGGGGAGAGTCTGGCTGATGTTCACCACCAGAGGGTAAGCACAGCCGAAGCTGAAGAGCATTGTGGACTCAGTAGTTTTGGAGCCTGAAACAACCTGCTTAAGCTGCACCTTCAGAGAATACAGGGCGTGGCTGTTGTTAGTCTAGAAAAGACAGGGAGGTGGCCATTATCGTCAGATCTCTAGGGGAAACACCTTCCATCCTCAGTGGCTGCAAGGTATTTGTTTAAATAAAATTAACAGCTAAAGTTCACTGAGGCTGAGCTGTATGTCAGGTATTGTGATTTCAACACAACTCTGAGGAAAGTTCTGTTATTGGTCTCTTTTCTTTTCGTTTTCTTTCTTTCCTTCCTTTTCCTTCCTTCCTTCCTTCCTTCTTTCTTTCTTTCTTTCTTTTTTGGACTGGAGATTGAACCCAGGAGCTATTTACCAGTAAGCTACCTCCCAGTCCTTTTCATTTTTTATTTTCAGACAGGTTCTCACTAGGTTACTGAGGGTCTGCTAAGTTGCTTAAGCTAGCCTCGAACTTGTGATACTCTTGCCTTGGCTTCCCAAATTGCTGGGATTACAGATGTACACCACTACATCCAGCTTATTAGTCTCATTTTACAGAAGAGCAAATTTTAAGGCCTGGAAAGGTTAAAAAAACTTGCCCAAAGTAAGTAACAAAGCCTAAAACCAGGACCACTTTTCTGATACCAAAGCCCCTGGTCTTAATCTCTGGTTCTCAAATTTCAGTGTGCATTTTAGAGTTCCTTGGGAAAAATAGGAAAGACAATAGAATATATCTAACATAATTTTCCTATGTACACATGAAACACCTAAATGAATCCTACCATCATGCCCACCCACAAGAATGGGGTCCTAATTAGAATAAGATATACCCCATGCTTGTATAACTTTATCAAAATGGATTCTGCTGTCATATAAAACTAAGAAGAACCAATGGAAAAAAGTATATGACTAATAGATGTATTCAACTAAAAGGATATATCTAAATGGGTGTGTGAATATATAAATTAAAAGTAATTTTACACTTGAAAGTAAAAAAATAAATAAATGATTCTCTTGGCTGGACGTGGTTTTACATGCCCAGAATCCCAGCTACTTGGGAGGCTGAGGCTTGAGGGTCTCAAGTTCAAGGCCAGCCTGAGGGACTTAGCAAGACCCTATCTCAAAATAAAAAGACCTGGGGATACAGCTCAGTAGTAGAGCTTTACTTAGCATGTGTGAGGCCCTGGATTAAAACCACAGTACCACAGGGGGAGAGAACAAAAAGATTCACTGGGGTATTTGTTAAAAATGCCAACTCCTGGTCCTTATCCCAAGCATCTCACACATGCTAGGCAAGTACTCTACCACTGAGTTACAGCCCCAGCCTTTATGTAAGATTTTTAAAGTAAGGAGGTAGCACGTTGTTGAGCTCATAGGAATACAAGCTAACTCTGTGAATCACTAGCTATTTGATTTTGGGAAAACCCTTAACTTCTCTGAACTATAGATTACCCATCTGTAAAATAAGACTACTATGATGGTTTAATGAGAGTAATGTGTGTTAATAGGGATTTGATCTTCTGTGTGTGGTTAGAAATTAATAAATACTTGTCATCATTATTATTATTTTAAAGGATTCGGGGGCTGACAATTTGTTTTTTTTTTTTTAGAGAGAGAGAGAGAGAGAGAATTTTAACATTTATTTTCGTTTTCAGCGGACACAACATCTTTGTTGGTATGTGGTGCTGAGGATCGAACCCGGGCCGCACGCATGCCAGGCGAGCGCGCTACCGCTTGAGCCACATCCCCAGCCCTGGGGCTGACAATTTGGAAACCAGTATCCTATTCCATCAAACATGGCACCACCTGGTGGCTGGGGATATAGCTCAGTTGGTAGAGCGCTTGCCTCGCATTTATAAGGCTCTGGGTTCAATCCCCAGCACCACACACACACACACACACACACACAAAAACTGGCACCACCTGTAAGGGCATTCCCAGTCTAGGCAGACATAACATGGTCATTTCCCCTCAAAAACACTGGTCTAGAAGGGCAGGGTGGCACATGCTGTGGTCCCAACTACTTGAGAGGGTAAGGTAGGAGGATCTTAAATTTGAGGCCAGCTTCAGAAACTTAGCAAGACCCTGTTTCAAAAGAAATTAAAAGGGTGGGGGTGTCTCCATGGTAGAGCACCCCTGGATTCAATTACAAGTCAATTGCAAGTACAGGGTAGGGATGGGAGAAGGAGACTGGTCTGATGGCTAAGATTTGACTTCACTCTCGAGAATCCCTCAGTCAAATAGGTCATGGGCTGGGGTTGTGGCTCAGCAGTAGATTTGGGATTTGATCTTCTCTGTGTGGTCAGAAATTAATAAATACTTGTCATCATTATTATTATTTTAAAGGATTCTGCCCAGCATGTGTGAGGCAATGGGTTTGATCCTCAGCGCCACATAAAAATAAATAAGGGGCTGTGGCTGTGGCTGCACAGCTGCTTGCTTAGCATGGGTGAGGCACTGGGTTTGATCCTTAGCACCACATACAAAAATGAGAAAATAAAATAAAGGCATGCTGTCCATCTACAACTACAAAAAAATTAATTAAAGGTTAAAAAAAAAAAAAAAACAGAGATGAGGTCAGGACTGGTATCCAATCACTCCCTTCCCAGCCCCACCTCACAGCTCCCCAGTCCCTATCAGGTGACCCTCCCAGCTTGCTTACAGAGAGGTGGAGTCCACAAGAACCCTCCTTCTTCTCCATCATGAAGACCTGGACCCTGTAGCCTTGTTCTATCTTCTTGGTGCTGGAGCACCCTGAGAAGACATCTTCTTTCAGAATCCAGTGGTTAGTTTCCAGGAAGCAGCTGCTCAGGGCCACCCCAATTTTTTGTGGCCAGCAGTACAGGGTCACTGGCATCCTGGACAGTTCTGCAGGAAGACAAGAGCCAGGGCAGGGACCTCCTGAGGCTCCTTGCATGATGCTGTGGGAGTGGGTATAATTCTGATGTGGACAGAGGAGACACGGGATATTAGCCCAACCTATTAAAACCTCCCGCAAATGCAGACTCTTCCTCACAAGAGTTGAGTGTCTACCGTCACACTTGCATTGCGGGACCCTGGTCCCTGGCCTTAACTGGCTCACTCAGAATCTCTTTCCAAGAAGTGGTAACTGCAGCCAGTATGAAGGTGGTATGGCCATCTTGTGCCAGGCAGGCTGAAAGGCACAAAAGGTTGGTTTGTGGAGAGAGGAGCAGAGCAGGAACAGGTGCAGGACGGGAGAAGCAAGACTGAGGAGAAGGAGGCAACTCCTGGTTCTGGACACATTCTTAGTTCCAGGGGCCAGTCCCTGGAAAACCTGGCCGAAGCCTGCCCTGGGCTTTGCTGAGAGTTTTCCTTGAGCTAAGTCAGTTGGTTCTGTTACTTGTCTGGCAAGATCAGTTTTTGAGATGCTGTTTTGCTCCCTGATTTCTTACCCATTCAAAGCAGGAAGCCAAGCCCTCAAGTGTGTGTGTGTGTGTGTGTGTGTGTGTGTGTGTCTGTCTGTCTGGGGATTGAACCCAGAGCCTGGAGCCTGCTAGGCAAGCGAGCTCCATCCCCAGCCAATCCTCAGGTTTTTTGAGGGAACTAAATTGCTCCAAGTTAACAGCTCTTTCAGTCCATAAAAGCCTAAACTAATTGAAGACATAGCCCTAGGGAGGGAGGGCCTTTGCAAAACCTAAGGGAGGTTTTCAAATTTTTTGATGATGGTACTGGGTATCTACCCAGAGCCTTATGCATGCTAGTCAAGCGTTCTATCACTGAGCTACAATAGCAGCCCTTCAGAGAGTGAAAAATTTATTTATTTCATTCAAGTCAATTAGAGTTGGTTTCTCTGCCATTCATAACACAAGCTTTCTTAACAGATACATGCCAAATACCTATACTTTTTGGGTGAAGACTGAAAAGCAAATACTTAACGCTTCCCTTCTTCTGAACTAGCCCCTCTAAATTTTTCTGTTAAAATTTGGGATGAACTACACACTTGGAATTAAAAAGTAAAAAAAAGTTGGAATTAAAAAGTAAAACTAGAGGGGCTGGGTTGTGGCTCAGCGGTAGAGCGCTCGCCTAGCACCTGTGAGTGCCTGGGTTCCATCCTCAGCACCACATAGGGATAAATGTGTAAAGGTATTGTGTCCAACTATAACTAAAAAATAAATAGTTTTTTAAAAAGTAAAACTAGAAAGTAATACATAATAGAAACACTAGTATAAAGTATTTCTGGATTTATTTTATTACTTTGGAGTTAAGATTTTTTCCTTTTTTATTAAAGCTCACCGTTCTACTTTGGCAGGCCTGTGTGGGAAGAAGGATAGGCACCCACTCCAATGGGATGGGCACCCCTAACCCTAGTTTAACAACCTTACTTGGCTTTATTTTTGATTCTAGAATGAGGTGACACTTCACCCCACAAAATAGAGTAAGAGGGGCTAGGGATGTGCCTCAGTGGCAGAACATTTGCTTTGCATGTACAGACCCTGGGTTTGATCCCTAGCACTAAAAAAAAAAAAAAAAAAAAAAAAAGTTTCAGATGGTCCAGGGACACAAAATAATGAACAAACAACTGGTTGGTTAACATCGGGTTACTTTTTTTCTTTTCTTTTCTTTTTTGGCACTGGGAATGGAGCCCAGGGATGCTCTACAACTGAACAGTGCTTCATAATTTTTATATTGAGACAAGTTCTCAGTAAATTGCCCAGGCTGGCTTTGAACTTACAGTCCAGCTCCCTCAACCTCACTGAGTAGGTAGGATTACAGGTGTGCACCACCATGCCCAGCTCAAATGGAATATTGAAGACTGAAAAAGTCCTACAAAAGTCAAGAAACAATTTTTTTAAGGGATTAAACTTAAGGGCACTCAACTACTGAGCCATATCCCCAGCCCTATTTTGTATTTTATTTAGAGTCAGGATCTCACTGAGTTACTTAGCGCCTCGCTATTGCTGAGGCTGGCTTTGAATTCTTGATCCTCCTGTCTCAGCTTCCTGAGCGCTGGGATTACAGGCGTGCACCACCACACGCAGCTAAGAAATAATTTTGTTTAATCTAGTCTATCCCAAATGTATTTTGACAATGAAACTTGTTTTTTGTTGTTGTTTGTTTGATTGTGGTGGTAGGGATTTAACCCAGAGCCTCACACATGCTAGGCAAGCACTTTACCACAGAGCTACAACCCCAGCCTGTAACCCTTTATTAGGGTAATATGTATTGAAATCCTGCACTACTGGTGTCCTGAAAAAATATATTTTGGAAAATACTGACAAATTAAGCACTGCTAGTAATAAAAACTTATAACATGTAATAAAGACTTCATCCCAAAGCAGTATTACCCAATAGACCAAAGCAGAAATGCCAAAGAAATGTATTTTGGATGAATTTGAAATTAAAAATAAAAAAGTAATCATTTTAGTAAAATCACAATTTTGTTAAACTGAAATGTTTTAGAAGTTGGTCATGATGACATTTGGCTATAGTTCCAGTTTCTTGGATGATAGAGGCAGAAGGATCGCTTGAGCCCAGGAATTGAAAGCCAGTCTGGGAAACGTAGTGACACCCTGTCTTAAAAAAAAAAAAAAAAAAATGGGGGGGAATTATTTTGACTTGAAAGAATATATATTTGGAGAACATTACTGCCTTTTTGGTGCCCTGGACCCAGCTTCAGCCTTGTCAGAATGTGGGCCTGGATGTTGGTGGCACTGCCTGGGAGAAGCCTGTGAAGTCAAGATTTCTCTCTTTTTTTATCTCCAGTATTGAGGATTAAACCCAGGGACACATGGGGCTGGGGCTGTAGCCCAGTGGCAGCAGGCTGCCTTAGCACATGTGAGGCACTGGGTTCAATCCTTAGCACCACATAAAAATAAACAACTAATTCTGGATACAATAAAGTGACTCCTTATTCCCCTTGTTTTCTTAAAAAAAAAAAAAAAAACAGGGCACGCTACCACTGAACTACATTCCCAGACATTTTTATTTTTGAGTCTCACTAAGTTGCTAAGGCTGGGCTTGAACTTTCAACCCTCTTTCCTAAGCATCCTGAATCCCTGGGATTGCAAGTGTGCACCACCATACCTGATTTGAACCCACACTCCCTATATAAGCTGGCACTCTGACTTGCCTTTTGCCTCAGTTTCCCTATGTGATCCTCTAAGCCCCCAATGGAGCTATGCCTCTGGTCTTTTTTTCAGCCTCCCAAGCCCCTGGGATTACAGGCATGCGCCACCATGCCCAGCTGACTCTGGTCTTTGATGGATCCATTAGTTCTGCACCCAGGAAGGTTTAATCCGGCCAGTAGCTGGAATCCTGGAGATTGGGAATGATAAATTGTTCATTCTACACATCTGCCCAGCTGCCTGTTCACCCACCAGAAGTCACCTCTAGCTGGATGAACCCATGTTTTACAAAGCCTCATTGGCCCTCTGGACCTTTGGACACGATGTTCCTCTGGGCTCACCCTGGCCCTTACCTCCAGTTTGGTTTCCTCACCTGAGTTCCTCCGCCTTACCTGAGTGGGTGTGGTAGCTGTCATTGCACAGGCAAACTCCTGTGCTGGCTGTGTATTCATCCAACGCGCAGGCTCCCGCTCTAGGACTACTATGCTGGCTATATCTGGGGGGAGTTTGACTGGGCCCAGTCACAGCAGAGGATTTCACTGTCCCCAAGGAGCTGAAGACAAGGGCTGTGGAATAAGCAGCTGTTGTCTCAGTACCAACACTGGAGGCTGATTGTGCAGGTTGGGAAGGTGTCCACATGGTTGTGTTGTGATATGTATCAGGTGGCTTGCTTGTCGAGGGGGTTGTTGCTGGGGTTGGGGGTGCAGCTGTACTTTGCTCTTCCCGAGTCTTAGTCATGGTTGTTCCAAGAACAGTTGTCCCCAGAGTGTTTGTGTTTAGTGAGGTAGTGTAGATAACTGTGCTAGTTGTCATGGATAAGAGTTTGCTTGTGTCATTAACTTTGTCTAATGTTGTTGAGGATGTAGTTAGAGCAGATGTCTCAGAGACAGTGATGGTTGTGGACCTGGATGATTCAGTGTCATTGCCTGGTGTCTTTAATGCTATTGGAGTTGTGGCTGCCTTCTCAGAGTCAGGGGACACTAATGACTCCAGTCCGTTATCTAGGGTGTTTGTTGTTAATGGGGCTGTCATTGGCGTTGTCTGATCCTGTTTTGGATTCTCAACTAAAGTGGCTGTGATGGGTAAGGTTGTGGGTAAGGTTGTGTTTCTAGATGTCTGGTCCTTCAACAGAGAAGTCATCATGGAGCTTGACAGTATGGTGTCATTGGTGGATGTGGTGATAGTTGTATGCTGTCTCTCTTCCCAAGTCCCAGGTGTTGAGTTTGTCTGCTCCATAGGTCCTGCCAAACTGCTGGTCAGTGGCGAACTTGGAAGAGTAGCTGTCATACGCTCCTGGGTCTCAGACACTGATGTCATTCCAGTTGTTGGTGAGCTGTTAGGTTCAGGTGCCGTGATGTGATCTCTCCCACTGTGGGACAGAGCTAAAGTTGTAGATGGACACAATATTGTCTCCGGAAGCGCAGATGCAACCCTCAAGACTGTAAAAAAACAAGCAAAGAGAAGCCGATCTACCATTTCTTCCATCGTCTCAGATGTTCTGACTTGCCAAGTATCTTTACTGGGAGATCCAGTAAAAATAATATCAAATCAAGTACATTATTACCAGCTCACATTCATTTATGTTCCAGTGCTGTGCTAATAGATTTCAACTGCTGCATACCAGGGAGGAAGAATTTAACTAGTATGGGCACCTGGGTCTCATTCTGCTGAATGTCTCTAATAACAACAAGAGCAGAAGATAGAAATCAGTATCTCATTTGGTGATAGCTCTCATTTGGTGTTTTGTCTTGTTTAGATTTTGTGATGCTGGGAATTGAACCCAGGGCTTTTCACATGTTAAGCAAGCACTTTAACACTGAGGACATGCTCAGCCCCTTGGTGTTTGGTTTCTTGATGACTTGTTTTGATGTTAGTTTCCTACAGAACTGAGTATTTAAAGATATAAAATTTAGAAAAGAGAGACATATCTGGGTGTGGTGGTACATACCTGTAATCCCAGCCACTTGGGAGACTGAGACAGGAGAACTGTTAAGTTCAAGGCCAGCCTCAGCAATTTGGTAAGACCCTTAGAAATTTAACGGGACCTTATCTTGAAATAAGAAATTAAAAGGACTGGGATGTACCTCTGTGATAAAGTGCCCCTGGGTTCACTTCCCAGTACCAAAAATAAATAAATAGTTAAATAATAATAATAAAGAAAAACCAAAGAAGATAGAGATGCAATTTTTTTTGATAGAACATGACCCTTAATTACAAGCCAAGTGCTTCATTTAAGGCATTAGCTGTTAAAATCTTTTGACATCATTCAGTTTTTCCTCGTCGAACACACAAGCATTGATACACTGAATCCTCACAATAAGACTGAAGTAAGTACTGTTATTTCCATTAACCAAATGAAGAAACTGAGGCTCAGACAGGTAGAGACATCTATCCAAGGTCACACAGCTAGGAAGTGGTAGCACTGTATTTGAAGCCAGGCCTATTAGATCCCAAAGCCCAACATCTACCTAACTGCTCTGCATTGCCTCATAAAAACATGGCTTCATTTCCACAGCTGAGCCAGCCATTCTCCCTTGAGAGAAAGGCCCAAATCAGCTATGCTGAGCTGGATCCCTAGGAAACCTTCCTTGTTCCCCTGGGTAATGGGCAGAAACAGGTCCATCACCTGATGCCCTGTCATTGCAGCCCTGGAGTGATCAGAGGCCTAGTTCAGAAAAACCAAGATGATCTAGCCCAGGTGATATGCTCATCCTCCTCATCACCCAGGTCCTCAACCCTTGCCCTGCTTGCACCTACCCCACCTACACCCCCACTTTCTCCTATCTCTGTGCAGAGCTAAGGGGTCATGGGTTAGAGAGGTGATCAGGAGGCTTAGAAAAAGTAGGGAAACCTGGGCTCCAGAACTGGATTTATCTCTGTGTGATTTGGGGAATGCCCCCTCTCTTTGTGGCCTCCGCGCCTCCCTCTGCACTGTGAGGGACTTGGGCTTAATTTGAGTGATCTCTGGACCCATTTACAATAAAAAGCCCAGGCTTAAATGAACACATGTCTTGCTACAGGGATCTCAGGGTTTTATTGGCAAGGAGAGATGTTTTTCTAAGTGGTTACCCAGTTGTCTCTGCCCCCCATGGAAAAGCCCATCCTTTCCCCCACAGATTTGTCATGCTGTCTGTCATTATGTAACCAGACTGATTTCCACGCTGTCTCTTGGAGCCCATTGATTTGTCTATCACTGCACTAATAGCACATGATCTTACTATCACTTTATAGCAAATCTTAGTATTTGATAGAATGAGTCTCCCGTCTTGTTCTTCAACATTATCTTAAGGGCTGTTGGCTTTTTGTCCTTCCTTACACATTTCAGAGTCAGCTTGTCAAGTTCTACAGAACCCTGTTGGGATGTGATGGGAGGAGTACACTGCACTGACAGATTTGGTGATAATTGACAATTTTATGATTCTGAGGTTTGCCCCTCTCAGCAGCTCCCTTGAGAAGCAGTGTTGTGTGACCTGGGCCCTCAAGTCAGAGCTGGGATACAATCTCAGCTCTCTGATACAGGGCATAGAAATCACCACACGACTCTGAACCTCAGTGTCATCTACTACAAAACAAGAATGACGAGTGTACCACTTCACTGCTGGGCATGAGGATTAAATAAGGTCATGCATGAGAAGCCTTAGCACAGAGCTCTGTATGCAGTAGGTGCTCAGCGAGCAGAACTTGCTTATTTGTTCCTCTCACCAAACTTGGTTGTCTCTGCTTCCTGGATGTTTTGCCAAGGATGCTCTTATCCCTTGTAAAAATCAGGGACAGAGTGGTGTGTGTGTGTGTGTGAGAGAGAGAGAGAGAGAGAATTTCCTGCTACTTCTCAATATCTTCCCCCCATATTGTCCTAGGAGCTCAGAACCCAGGGTTGCATCCTGGCTCCAGCTCAGTGAGGTACTGGGGCTGGTGGTTGCTCCTTGTTAGAGTAGGGCAGGGAAAGGCAGTGGAGGAACCCAACTCCTTGGGCCCTGTACCTGCTGAACCCTTAGGTCATAAGTGTAGTCCAGATGAAATGACACATAGGAAGGAGGAGATAGTCTAGGCATGGAGGCACAAGCCTATAATCTCAGCAACTTGGGAGGCTGAGACAGGAAATTACAATTTTGAGGCCAGCCTCAGCAATTTAGCAAGGCCCTTGGCAACTTAGAGAAAACCTGTGTCAAAATAAAAAGGTGTGGGGACATAGCTCAGTGGTAAAGCACCCCTGGTTCCAAAAAGAAAAAGAAAGGGGGAGAGAGAAGAAATGACAGACAAGATAGAATGGAGACAGACAAAGATCGCCTCCTGGAAGAGGTACCTGGGAGAGGCCAGAGCCCCATGGTGGTTGTCCTCTAAACTCACTGGTGCCCCAAGCCTTTCAGACAGTTCTAGGGGTTGGGTGGGGGATGGCTGATCTCACCTTGTGGAGATCTTCCTGAAGACACTACCTGGTCTTTCACCACCTTCTTCCCCTCTCTGGCCAGCCAGAAGAGGGCCTGGGAGAGGAGGAGGACAGATGGAAAAGGTAGATGTGGATACTCACCAGGCAGGTTGAGGGTTCCATCCCCAATAAGGAATAGCAGCAGCAGAGACCAGCAGCTGCCCATGTCTGTGCTGGTGGATGGCCCCAGAGGGTGCTGGGAAGAGTTCTGGCCTGAGCAGACAGATGGACAGCAACTCCAAGACAGGAGGCCTTGCTGGCTCTGGTGCTGCCTGTTTTCCGTTGCCGAGCACACTGCTCATCCCTAGCTATCAGACTCGTTCCCTGCAGGCCCCAGAGGGCTTTTCAGAACAGGAACCAATGCTGAAGGGAGGGGAGATGAGATAGTTTCCCATCAACTGCAATCAGCGGACCTCTGGGGACTGTCATTCCAACAGGTGAAGATCCCCAAGGTCCCCAATTGTCAGCCTTTGCTGAACAACGGGGCAGAACTCTGGGCCATCCAGACTTACCCCAACCTAACACCAGGGCACATGACTGATTCCTTGGATCTCCCTCCTGCTGGCCTAAGAGATGACCATTTGAGAATCCAAGTCTCCTGTCCTCCAAGGACTGCCACAGCTTTCTTAATCTATTGCCTGGTTCAGCAACCTGCTGAGGCTCCCAATGGCCTTTGGTGTGAAGATTCTAGATAGGCTTCAACAGGTCCCAAGTTCCCCAAGAGACTTCACCTGACCCACGAGATCCTCCTGCTTTCTTCTAGCAAACCTCAGTGCTGCTTTCTCCAGGAAGCCTGCCAGAACCCACATTTTTAAAAATATTTATGTATGTATGTATGTATGTATGTCACGCTGAGGAACCCAGTGTCTCATGCATGCGAGGCAAGCACTCAACCACTGAACTACAACCCCAGCCCCAGAACTCACATTTTAACCAGTTAATCTCCATCGCCCAAGGACAGAGCTGCTTATACATAACTGCATAGCTTAGTCAATCGTGACCCCATCGGAGTAGGGCTCCCTAGAGTGAAGACCCATCTCCACCTTCGGACAGAGAAATAGAGGGTAGTACTATATCGTTTAGCAGACAAGGGCTCCCAGGCATGGAGTCCAGATTCACCCCCTCACCAAAATTTAGAATCCTATGGGCTGGGGTTAGATCTCTACCATTAAGTAAGAAATTTTCAGAGGGATGGATATTTTTTCCCCACATTCCACTTGAAGCTCCTGAGGGCATCAGATGAACTGACCTTGAGGAGCAAAGTCTATCTTCCTCATCAGACCCGGGGCAAGTAGCCAAAAGGAGAGGAGGCCTAGGGGTGCAAGTACCAGTCAGACACTGATTCCAACTCAAAACTTTATTGTCAATGGACAGCACCTGACCTCACTGGTCTTGGCAGGTGGGCCTTTCTCTTCTTGGTGCTTGGTCCATTTAGGCTGTATCCAGCTCTGAGCTGGAACAGGGGTCTGGAATACCCACCCTTAGGCCAAATCCTGGCTACCGTGGCCAGTACCCCCTTTCTCACGCATCTTTGCCGCTAGGGCTCCCATTCTCATCCAGCATCCTTCTCCATCCTGGCTCCTCTGGACCTGGGACTCACAGGTACAAGCCGTGCAGAAGTTGCCACCCTCACAGCCCCTGGGCCTTGTCTCTGTGTAAGGAGAGCCTGGGCTCTTGCCAGCCTGTGCCAAGCCATGCTGGGGATGCAGGAAGCTGTGGAGCTGGCTGTGTGTGTGCTCGGCTCCCTCCTGCAGTCTCAATAGTTGAACTTCTGTTTGTTAAGCAGCATATTTGTGCCAGATTCATAAACCTGTAAACCCAGAGGTCTTTTTGTCAGTCCCTATTCTGACATGACAGATTCCTTTTCTCCCCACCTCCAGCCCCAACAGTTGTCCCATTCCAGGGCTCTTAGGGAAGTCCTTCATAGATCTAACTCTAGCTGACTAGTAGGCCACTCCGAGCTGGTGAGCCTAGGTATTCACCAGGCTTCAGGTCATCCTGTCTCAGCAGATGGGGTGGAGGCAGAGAAAGAAACTAAATTAGGCTAGTGTGTGCACTTGTTCTATCCAGAAGCTTCCTCTTCCAGGAGTCTTTTGCCCATAGATGAGTTAAGCATCTAGCTCTAAGGAGAAGCTGAACTGGCTCAAACATACCAAGAAGAGGTGGGTTTGTAGGCGTTAGAGAACTAATGGGCTTCTAGGGTGGAGCCTAATGGGAGGGGCAGAGCCTCTCGTGAGAAGGAACAGGTAGACCTTAAACCCATTGGGCAGCGACAGCTGGGATGGGAGGGAGTTTAGGGAAGGGCTGATTTTGGGACTGCGACAGATTTCCAACCCTGGACAAAAGGCCCAGTGGCTGGCTGGACTGGGCACAATGCGGCATGGACGTGGGGCAAGTGGGGATTGGGTGGAGGGAAGATGCACCTTTTCCCTGGTAACTAGCGCAGAGAGCAAGTCTTGCTTGGTAGCCATACTGTACACGTCTATAGAGGAACGGGTCTCCATCAACGTGCTCACCGACAGGTGCCTGTGCAGAAGTACCTCCTCCTGCTCCTGGTTGAAGCGAATGGAGCGCACCTCATCTATGATCCTGGGGAGCGGGGAGTGCGTCAGGGGCATTGGAAGAGGGGAACAGCCCTTCCACCTCTTCCTTGGTAAGTGCCCCTTCGTTGTATCCCTCACCCCCCCCCCCCCGCAGAGCACCAGACCATGATGTGTGAGATGGGAGGAACCCGGAGGTCAGGATTCCAGCTCCTCCAGCAACAGGTTGGGGGACCCTGGACAAGTCACTTAACCTCTCTGGGCCCCAGGATCCTCATTAGAAAATAGTGGGGGCCTGCGGCCAGAAGAATCTTGAGTTTCCGCCCAGCCCTGACTCCTGGGACTCTTGGTGACCCCAGGACTCCCGCCCCCCTACGTGTTAAGCTCCTCTCGGATCTCCTTGTACTGCATCAAGTTCTCCTGTATCGCCTCAAGCACCAAGCAAAAGTTGTCGCACGTTTTTTCCGAGAGGTTTGACAGGGGGCCCCCCACAAGAGGTTCCTGGGGGACACCAGATTTCTCCAAGCGGGCTACTGCACAGTGCACGATTGGCAGCTCATCACCCCAGTCTTCCTCCTTCTCTGCGCCTGCCTGGGGGAGGAGGGATGGAGAGCTCAGACCAAGGGAGGACCAGTCTCTAGGGACAGTAAGGTTCTAATGCCCCTCATTTCAGCTCTAATTTTTTTTTTCTTCTCTGCCTCTCAGGATGGAACCCAGGGCATGGCAATGGCTCCCACTGAGCTCCACTTTCAGCCTTCAGCTCCAATTCCTCTGGCCTCCTGACCTTGCTTCGGGTGTTCAACTACAAATGCACAAGTCCATCCTTCACGCTTTGGAAATTCTCACCCCTTTCTAAACTTAGCCACTCCCCATTTCACCCCGATAAATACTACCAGCAAGCTTCTAAAGCCCTACCTACTCTCAAGTCACAGAGCCCAGCCTTCAACCCTTCCAGAATTTTCTGTCTTCTCCGATCTCATGGAAGCTCTGCCCCTGAATGAATAGGACTGCATTAACTGACACCACGTGCCAAGCAGCGTTCGCTCACCCATTTACTCCTATGAGCCCTGTGAGGTATGTAGTAAGTAAGTGCTATTATTATTCCCGTTGTACAGAAGGGAAAATGAGGTTTAGATTGGTTAAATGCCCTAAGACCACCCAGCTGCACCATTTTGAGTTGTCATAGAAAATCCACTCCCCTTAGATGCCCCAGTTGGTGGGTGGGCGGTTCAGATGAGAGGCTGCTGCCTCCAGGTCTCTGTTTCGCCTTTCTCCAGGCCCTTGAGTGTGCAAGCACACGGACACGTGCTCTAGTCAGTGCTTATGCACACACTCCTTTTCCTCCCCAACCCTCCCATCTCACGCACCTCACTAAAGATTATTCGATGCTCCTGCTGCTGCTCTCCTGCCTTCATCATTTGTTCCAGATTGGTGGTCACCACGACGACGAACAGGTTGATGCCAATGAAGGCACCGATGGTGATGAAGATGGCAAAGTAGATGGCAGCCCCAATCTCCATTGCGTACTCCCTATCCTCCATCCTGGAGATGGCAGGCAGGACCGCGTCACCTTCCTCGCCCTTTGAGCCTCAGTTTCCTCATCTATGAAATGGGGAAATTATCCCAAGGCCCACTGGGACTTCTGCCTGCTTGGCTACTATTGCCAAGATCTAATTCTCTACTCCCAGTTGTCATCGCAGCTGCTCCTTACTGTGCTGCTAGGCAGTGGGTCAACTCTCAAACCAGTCCCGCAAGGTGATCTGCCACATCAGTATTATCAAGTTTAATCTATTAGCTGTACTATTATTCATGGTTTTTCTTACTTTGAAAACTAATTCAAGTTCATTATAAAAAGATTGGAAGAAAAACACATAGGCAAAAAAAAATATACCATCTCCTGAGTTATCCACTATTAATACCTTGTTGAAAATTTCCCCTAAAATATTTCCCCCAAATATAGTCCCCTGTACCAGGCTCTATACTAAGAGATTGATACAGATTTTCCCTATTGATCCTCACAGCAATCCATGATATAGTTAATATGGGATTGTAATCCCATTTAACAGGGAAGGAAACTGAGACTCAGAAGAAGAGAGATGAAGTAACTCGCCCAAAGTCACATGATTAGTATGGTAGAGCAAGAACTCAAAAGCCCAGTGCAACTTCACTGTGAGATGTGCAATTCTCTTCCCCTACCTACAACTTAATGAACCAGGACTGCAGAGGCCATTTATCAACAAAGCTTCTACTCTCACCTGAAGGGGATAAAAATAAGTCACTGATAGTCATGCATGGTGGTGTCATCCCAGCCACTCGGGAGGCTGAGGCAGAAGGATCACAAGTTTGAGGCCAGCCTCAGCAACTTAGTCAGGACTGGAAAGAAATAGGACTTAGACTTAATCAGGAAGAGGTAAAGGACAGAACACAAAAATAACCTTGGGTAGTAGGTTTAAAAATGAAGTTTCCACTAAGGAGCTGAAAAGACACTTTTCAGAAGAAAATATACAATCAATCAACAAATATATGAAAAAATGTTCAACATCTCTAGTAATTAGAGAAATGCAAATCAAAGGCTCTAAGATTTCATCTCACTCCAGTCAGAATAGCAGTCACCAAGAATACATGCAACAATAAGTGTTAGCAAGGATGTGGGGAAAAGGCACACTCATAAATTGCTAGTGGGACTGAAAATTGGTTCAGCTAATCTGGAAAGCAGTATGGAGATTCCTTAGAAAACTTGGAATGGAACCACCATTTGACCCAGCTATCCCACTCCTCAGTCTATACTCAAAAGACTTAAAAATAGAATACTATAGGGACACAGCCACATCAATGTTCATAGCAGCACAACTCACAATTGCCAAACTGTGGAACCAACGTAGATGCCCTTCAATAGATGAATGGATAAAGAAACTGTGGAATATATACACAATGGAATATTACTGAGCAATAAAAGAGTAAAACTATGGCATTTGCAGTTAAATGGGTGGAGTTAGAGAATATCATGCTAGGTGAAGTAAGCCAATCCCAAAAAACCCAAAGGCTGAATGTTTTCTCTGATAAATAGATGCTAATTCATAATGGTGGGAGTGGGGTATGGGATGAGTGGAGGAACTTTGGATGGGGCAAAGGGGAGAAGGGAGGGAGTTTGGGGGTGGGAAAGATGGTGGAATCAGATGGACATCGTTATCCTAGGTACATGTATGATTGCACAAATGGTGTGACCCCACTTTATGTACAACCAGAGATGTGAAAAAATGTGCTCCATTTGTATCCAATGAATAGAAGAGCATTCTGCTGTCATGTATAACTGGTTAGAACAAATAAATAAAATTTTAAAAATGAGTTTCCAGGGCCGGGATTGTGCTCAGAGGTAGAGCGCTTGCCTAGCATGCATGAGGCACTGGGTTCGATCCTCAGCACCACATAAAAAATAAAATAAAGATATTGTGTCCACCTAAAACTGAGTTTCTAGGAGCCCAGGCAGTTTGGTGGACTCTCTTGTGGGCTGGAATTTGACCTGTGACCACAGACCTGCTCCCCAGTCCAAGGCCTAGCCACCCAGCTGTTTAGCATGACAGGAGAGGTCTTCACAAACAGGGTCTGGTGGCACTTTGAATATGTGGAATTTCAAGGGGGACAAGGATCACAAACTCAGAAATCCACCCACAGGTATTTCCTTTTCCCCAACTTAAAGCCTTGGCCACCCCCTTCCTGCTAGGCCATCCCAGCCCTGGAGGCCCCACTCTCACTGCAAGCCCTTCTCCCCACCCAGTTCCCCTGCCTTTCAGGAGCTGTGGTCCCCTTCTTGCCAGGTTGGGATGAGAGCCTGGAAGGTCCACCCTGTACTCACTGAAAGTCACTGTAGATGTCCAGCCAGCCGTCCTGTGTGATGCAGATGAAGAGAGTGTACAGGGCAACCCCCATGTTCCGGAAATGGTCAGGCACGAATGCACCAAAGAGTGTGACCCCAAACACTGAGAACACCTGCCAGAGAGACAAGGCCCCCCTAGATTCACCCAGGGGCCCTGAAGAGAAGACATGCAAATACATGCAAATTTTAAACAAAAGCTGCCAAGGGAATCCCAGGGATTTGGACCCCTGGGCCTCTCTTCTGCAGGACCCCTGCTCTCCCCAGTGACCCAGGGACTCTGTTCAGGGATGGGGAATGGCCAGGGTGGGGGAGGGTACTGACCAGCATAAAGAAGAGGATAAGGGCCATGATATTGGCCAGGTCAGGCAAGGACTGCAGGATGACATGGATGATCCGGGCCAGGGGTTCCACCGCCATGCACACATGAACCAGCCGAAGCACCCTGCAGCACAGCCCCTCAGGGGTGTCCCCTCAGTCCTTCCCAGACCTCTCCCTCCTCTCTGCCCCGCCACCAACTGCCCAGAGGCAGAGCTGAGCCCCAGCTGTTAACAACCTCCCTCTTTTCATTCCTGAGTCCAGACACGTTTCCCCCTCTCTTCAGAGCTCCCAGCTCACCTGAGTGTGTAGGTGACAGCCATGATACCAAGTTCTTTGATGAAGAACCCCATGAGCAAGATAAAGACGATAATGAAGTTGAGGATGTTCCAGCCGTCCTGGGGGGGGCACACTTCTCCTGAGTCTGCCCTCCCCACACCCTGAGGATGGGGAGCTCAGTGTTCTTCTCAGAGCAGGGCCAGCCAACTGCCATCCAGTGCTGTCACCCTGCCGCTCCACCCCACAGCATGCCACAAAACACACACGCAATCATTGTCCCATCCATGTGTTGAAAGCCAAGTGCCACCTTAGAGACTCACAGTGGAGTCTCACACACACACAGCTGAATGCCACCTGGCTAACGAACTGCAGAAGGCAGCCGTGGCCTACAGTTAGTGACCTGAAAACACTTGGGTGCTCCTGCCTTTGGTGACACACACTACAGTTAATAAAATGGAAATAAACACTAATAAAAACACCAAAGATCACTGCTGCAGGAGGCCCGTGAGAGGTAAAACAGCACTCCGGGAACCCGGAAGGGAGACAGGCAAATTCTGTGAGCCTTGTGTCCAGTATGGCACCTGCTCATACAGGAATGGAGAAGGTGGGGGAAGTTCACTTGTATGAAAAATTTTACCTACAATCCCACTTCTATAAATCTGATGGGCAAATTCTCCGGTATAGGTACAAAATGACATTTGTATAAAGTTGAAAATGTCCAAAGTACCCATTGGTTGGAGACTGGCACATTTATTTCATGGAGTACTATGTAGCCACAAAAAGACAAATAAGATAGATCACCATGTAGGATTGTCAGAACTGGGCACAGTGGCACAGGCCTGTCATTCCAACAAGTTGGTAGGCTGAGGCAGGAGGATCACAATTTCAAGGCCAGCCTGGGCAACTTGGCAAGACCCTGTCCTAAAAAAAAAAAAAAAAGTGGGGGCTGGGGACGTAGGTCAGTGGTAGAGCGCTCGCCTAGCATGTGTAAGGGCCTGCACATTCAAGTACTGGAAAGAAAAAGAATAAAGAAGGAAGCAAAGATTGTCAGGATCTAGTAAGTGACCAAACTACAGCGTAGGACAGTGTTGACAGTTAGCTACTGTCAGGAAAAGGAGGACTAAAAATACATACCCATTTGATATGATTGTAAAAATAACTACTGGGAGGATAAACAAGAGACTATAAATATAAGGAGATTACCTAGAGAGGGTGAGGGTGAGGGGACTGCAGTGGAAGCAAGAATTCTGTGTACCTTTCAATATAATTTTGACCAATATGTATCTACGAATCTGCATTAAATACACAAAAAGGAAAAAATATATTTAATTTATTTATTTATTTGATACAGGGGATTGAACCCAGGGGTGCTTAATTACTGAGCCACATCCCAAGTCCTTCTTATGTTTTATTTTGAAACAGGGTCTAAGTTGCTGAGGATGGCCTTGAACTTGGGATCTTCCTGTCTCAGACTCCTGAGTCACTAGAATTAAAAGTGTGCACCACCACGCCAATTCTCTATCTCTTAGAGTTTGTGCCTGCACATACACATATATAGACAGGCAGACACAAGCCCACCTGTCTACGAATCTATCCTTTTATCCATCCATTATTAAGTTCCTACTGTATGCCAGATCCTGAATCATTTCCTGAGGATGCAAGGTTTCTGCCCTGCTGGGCTCAAAGAACACTTAGAGGGACGTGGATCGACAGCAAATTTTAACTCCATGTGAGATAGATAAGTACACATTATCACGGGGACAGAGCAGCACCTGACCTAGCCTGGGAGAGATGGGAAGATTCTTCCCAAGGGGAAGACATCCCAAGGGATCTGTAAGTAGAAGTAAAGCAAGTGAAGAGGAAAAATTGGAAGAGTACTTTGTGACACATGAAAATTATAGGAAATACAATTTTTCCTAAATAATGTTTTATTGGAATAGAGCTGGGCATGGTGGTACACAACTGTAGCCCAAGCTACTCAGGAGGCTGAGGAAGGAGGATCATATGGGCCCAGGAGTTTAAGGCCAGCCAACATAACAAGACCCCATCTCAAAAAACAAGGGTGGGGAATGTGGTGCACACCTGTAATCCCAGTGATTGAAAGTTCAAGGCCAGCCTCAGCAACTTAGCTAGACCTTGTTTCAAAATAAAAAATAAAAAGGACTGGGAATGTAGCTCAGTGTTAGAGCACACTTGGGTTCAATCCCTATTACCAAAAATAAATAAATAAATAGCAAATAAACAAGGATCCCTGCTCCTGAAAAGAAGGAGGAGAAGGAGGAGGAGGAGGAGGAGGAGGAGGAGGGGGAGGAGGAGATGATGATGATGATGATGATTCATTGGAGGGGGCTGGGGTTGTGGCTCAGTGGTAGAGTGCTTGCCTAGCATGTGTGAGGCACTGGGTTCGATTCTCAGCATCACATACACATAAATAAAATAAAGGTCCATCAAAAACTAAAAAAATATTTTTAAAAAAAGATTCTTTGGAATACAAACATGCTCAGTCATTTCTGTACTATGACTGCCTTTGTGCTACTAAGCAGAGGTGGGTCACTGCAACAGAAACTGTAGAGGCCGTGAAGCTTCAAATATTATTCTGGTGCATCACAGAAGTTTGCTGACTCCTGCTCTGGAGCTCTGTAAATCAATCTCATTTCTCAGATGCAGAATTCAAACTTTGCCCAACTAAAGAGCTGGAGGAGGCTGGAACAGGGATGGGAACTCAAACTCAGGGAGGCTGCACTTCTAGTACAATTTATCATCGGTTGTATCACAAACATTCAAAATTCTCTCTCTCCCCCTCCCCCCCCCTCTCTCTCTACACACACACACACACACACACACACCCCTCAGTTTGCAGGGCAGGGACTTGATAGGGTGCAGCTCTCAGAGAGAAGGGGTGAAGGTGACAAGGTCCCAAGATCTCACCTTCCAGAAAATCCAAAAGCCGTTGAGCCAGCCGAGGAGAACCTCACAGACAAGGACGGTCAGCACAATGTCATCTATGGTAGAGAACAACTGATAGTGTCTCTACAGTGACAAAGAAAAAGAGAGGGGCCGAGGTGTCGGTGAATAGGGTTGGGGGGGAGGCCAGGGAGAAGGGCATCTGGCAGGGTGGGAGGCCTCAGTCCCTGCTGCTTTTCAACTCTTCTGCATCTCTGTCCTTCCCGCGAAAACACACTCTGTGTTCATGCCAGGCACTGTGCTAAGACCACTCATGCACTGTTACCTGGGACCAGCAGCCCTGTCACTTGGGACCATCAGCCCTGTCCTGCAGAGTAGCTTCCTTTCCCATCCTACAGGTGGGGAGTTAGAGAGGGGCCCGTGTGCACACAGCTTGTTGACTGCTGTCCACTCTAGGCCTTCGCTCCTGACCTCTAGAGTAGGGTGTTTGGGAAAGAGAGGTGGAGGAGAGACCCAACTAGCTCTAGTATTGGAGGAAAAGGGACCCTTCTCTGCCTGCCCCAACCACTCCTGCTATTCCGTGCCTCAAGTCCTTCAGGTCAAGCCTGACCAAACTCCTGGTGTCCTCCTGATTGTGGATCCAGTACATGCTCTTGGGTGCATGAATCAATGGGCAGATAACTAGGGTCTGTCCAAAAGACCCAACTCACTTCAACTCAACCTCAATCCTAACAGCTTGTCCACAGCGGTGACACCAACTAACAGCCCACAGCCCCCTAACTTCACGTTGACATCACGAAAATCACCTCTTCTCCTCCCTCTCTTTACTCCAATGGCCAACTAGACTCGGTGCCTTGAGGCACAAGCCACACAGGGGGCCTCCACCTTCTCTTTCCACCCCTCTCTCCTTCCCCCTCCAACTCGATTATCAAAATGGTGGTGGCATTTGCACTCTGAATTCATTTCCTGAGCCATAATGGTTCCTGACCTGTCCTCTGCTCTCCTCACTCTGCAAACATTGCAGTTGAGTTTCTGCCTCCAACACAAAAGAGATGACTCTGGTGCAGGTCAGGGGATGCGTCCAGGCCTCACCTCTCCACAGCTGGCCCTGTTGCCTGTTCCCTTGATTGGCCCTCTCTGTCCCACTCCACACCCCTGAACAATCTCAGTCCTACTCCTTTGGCTTCCTTATAGGTGTGACCTCACTGAAACCCTCTGTGTTAGCTATTGTATGGACACCTCGGGTACCACACTAACCTCCACGTGGTCCCAAACCTGCTTTTCCTCTCATCTCCACATTCAGACACACAGTGCCAGCCCTGATGCTGTTGCTCAAGCCGGAAGCTTCCCTTCCCTTCCTGCCCTCCCTTTGAATGAGATGATGAAATGTGAACACAAGGTGACATGTAATAAGTGCCCACTAAATGTTCAGTACAATAACATCCATCAGGAAGCTCCATGGATTCTACTCCCAGAGAGTTTCAAATGCATCTGACTTTTCACCCAATGCCATCGTCCTGGTCCAAGTCCCACCATCTTTCACATGGACCTCTGCAACAGGGTCCTGCCTGGCCCATCTTCCCCCATTCTTGGACCTGTACCTTCCATAGTCCACACTGTGGCTGCCATTGCAAGTTTTCTAAAACACATATCTGGTCATTTCACTTCAAGGACATCTTCCTTCTCATAACATGGGATCTGGCCCCTGACCACCTCTCTGAATTCAGCTGATGCCACCACAAGGGACATGTTATTTATTTTTGCAGTGTTTGGGATTGAACACAGCATCTGATGTGGGCTAGCCAAGTGCTGTACCACCGAGCCATACCCCCAGCCTAATACACTGATTTTTAGTAGCACAATACATATATGTATACTGTGTAAGAAATTAAAATGTCAAGGATAAGAGCAAAGTTATACTAAACTTCAAGTTGGGCAAAGAGAACTCTCCCACATGCTGGCTCTTTCCCATCCCTCAATCTCTCTGCTATGCCCAGGGATCAAACTCAAAGCTTCCTGCATGCTGGGTAAGTACTCTACCATGGAACTACATCCACAGCCCTTATGCTTTATTTTGAGACAGGATCTCACTAAGTTGCTGAGGCTGGCCTTGAACTTGCAGTCCTCCTGCCTCAGCATCCAGAGTCACCATGCCTGGTTCCCATCTCCCTTTGCCTGGCCAACTCCTACTTACTGTTTCCTGTCAGTGTGAAGCTCTTCTCCTCCAGGAGGCCTTCCCTGACCTCCCACGTTGAGTCGGATGGTCTTTGAGCTTCCACTTACTCTGTGAGACTCAGGCATTTGTGATGGTGTGTTTGTGTCTGAGATAGGAACTGGGTTTCGTGTGCTTTCAGCTAGAACCTTGGCGCTGAGTGGTCTGTGCCTGACCCAGAATGATTCTCCCTTAGTGACTGCCAAGACTGGACACTGTTCCTCACCAGGTGCCCATTTGCCTGCCTCTGCCCACACAACTCTTTTCCTGCCCATCTACAAATCCAACCAATTTCTCAAAGCCGGTCTCCAGAGCTTCCTCCACCACGAAACTTCCTTGACCTCCAGATCCCTAGAGGTCAGAGCTGACAGACCCTGAAAGCCTCCAATCCAACCATCAGAGACAGATGAGGAACCTGTGGCGCGAGAAGGAAGTGCCTTGCCCAGAACCCCATCAGAGCCAGTGGGGGCAGAGATGCAGACAGTGTCCCACCTGACCAAGGACAAAGTTGGTGCGGAGAGCGATGGTGATGGCGTTGACCACCAACAGCAAGGCCAGCAGCAGCTGGAAGGCTGGGTGCCGCAGTAGCTGCTTGATGTACATGCGAGTGATGAACTCCTGCATGTCCCACGCATCCTGGGAGGAGGCAGAGACCTTCCTTCAGGCAGGTGTCACCACAGCTTTGCTCTCCGTGTATGCGGGTCCCTGCGGGCCTGCTCTAGTTGCCTGAGATCATGGAATGCGGGCATTGGGGTGGAGGTCATGACGTAAATGACCTAAAACAGGGTCATTGTTGGGGGGTATTTGTGTGGCTCGTGGCACAAGAGTCTGTACTGGGGACGCTGCTGATGACTATCATGATATAAGGGTTCCTTTGGGGGCACTGGCAGATAGTCACTAATGTAATATGAGGGATCACTGCCGTGTAAGGTCGCCTTGCGGGCCATTAAGAAGGTAGAGGAAGGCCTGGTCTGTCCATGAGCAGGACTATAGAAAGGGCCTGGGGGATGAGGGTCACCGAAGGCCCCAGCCCAGCCCAGTCCTTACCTTTTCACTTGTGATGTCCCTGCGGTTGATGAGCACTTGCTCCTCGTGCCGTATGAAGGGGTCATGTGTGGTCCTCTGCAGGAGAGAGAAGAGGGCCCTCAGTGCAGCCACTGCCCCTGCCCAGCCCAGGATGCCAGCTCCGTGACGGGGCCAGGCAAGGGCCTTGTACCAGTAATTTCAAATGTCTGACGTTGGTGGTGTCTGTCCATTGCTGCCACCAGGTCTTTTGGTTCTCGGCCATCTTTGCTCTGTCCACATCCACTCCTCCTTTTCCAAGAAATGTCCCTCCAAACAGTCTTGCTCCCTCTCGTGGTGAGATCACAGAAGCAGCTGTGATCTCTAGCGTTCTGCATTCTACCAAGGCGTTCCAACTCCAGAAGCTCCTTCCATTGCCCTGGCTGCACCCCACGGAGGATGCCAGGGATGGTCTCCTGTGCTGACTGTGGAGTCAAGGGACAGGTTCCTGCTCTGGATCTCTGAGATGAAGGTGAGGCTGGGATGAGAAATAGAGAGATGTTTTGTGGCAGGATCTTCCCGGAGGCAGACCTCCACCTGCACCCCTCCCGTCCCACCCTGGCTCCAGGGCTGCCCACCTGCCCTTCATGCTGGGTGTGTTTCCCCATCGACTAAGTAAACATTTCCCACCTGTCCTCCCTGGGGAAGGGGGAGGGGAGCTCTTCTGGCTTCCTAAGGACTAAGGATGGATGGATGTGAGTAGGAGCCTTTCTTAATCATGGAGCAAAGCCCATCACCCTGGTGGGCAGGAGCTTCAGGTATAGAGCCCAGGCCAATGGGCTGTGTGAGGGGGGGGTTGTCACCCACCCTCCAGAGGAGAGCCATCCCAGACCCCTCTGAGAAGCAGACTCCTTATTCTAAAGTAAAGGTACACACAGATTCATTTTCAAGAAATTAACTTTATTTGGTTGGAAAAGTGTCTCTTATGTAAAATAAACACTCATCCAGACCTGGCATCAGGAAGGGTGCCCTGCTGAGGGAAAGGGGTCGAGTAGACTGTGCCCCTCAGGCCTGAATATGGAGGAGAGTTTCTTCTTCGAAGGGAGGAGGTGACACAAAGCTCACTTCCCCCGACTCAGGGGAGACAGGAGCAGAAATGGTGGAGGCCTAGGCAGAGGGGTCAGCTTGGCGAGAGACCATGCCTAGCACTGCTTCTAGCCTTGAAAAGAACCCAGAAAGCTCTGTCGACATGTCAGCAGTAGGGGTGAGGTGGTCCTCAGGGCCAAAGGTTAGGAACTGGGGTTCTGGCCAGGGTCAGAGGTCAGGAGGTCAGAGGTTGCTCTCTGGGTCAAGGAGCAAAGATGGGAGGGCTCCTCAGGGTCAGAGGACAGGGGTTGGGGGGACTGTGCTCTGGAGTCAGAGGTCAGAGCTTGGGGGCTGCTCTCAGCCTGCACCAACCCCCAGGCCCCCAGCCCCTCTGAGTACAGCTCCTGGTTCTTCTCCTTCCACCGGCGGAATTTCTCTCCCGTCAGCTCGGGGTCACTCAGCACCTCCTCCAGGGCCTGCAGTTCCTGCAGTTTTGCCTGACATGGGAGTAGTGGGTAAGGAGCCATGATCATCCAAGGCAGCAGCAGAGCCCAAGCCCAGAGCTAACTCTGGAGTCCTGTACCTAGAACCCTGCACCTGGTCAGCCAGGCATGAGAAGCCTGGGTAAGATTTCAAACCCCAGCTTAGACCTAGAACTTGGACCAGTCCACAGCTGAGTCTAAAATGGACCCTACAGCCCAGCACTGAGCCCACTGTTAAGAGCTAAGCCCAAGGGGCTGGGGACTGGAGATGTGGCCAGCGGTAGATCACTCGCCTAGCATGCAAGAGGCCCTGGGTTCAGTTCCTAATTCCACCCCCGCCCCCCCAAAGAGCTAGGCCAAGCTCAGAACTGAGTTCCTGAGTCGGACAGCCAGAGCTCAGAGCCCAGAGCCAAGTTCCTGAGGAGTCAGAAAGCCAGAGGCAGGAACCCAGAGCTGAGGCTGCAGGCCAAATCCAGAGTGGAGCTTGGCCAGGAACAGCCTGAAGCCCACAGCCCTCCTCGCCCAGTGCCCCCGGCTGACCTTGAGTGTGCTCTGTAGAGCCCGCACACGGTGCACTCGCTCATTGAGGTGGGGGTCTCGGTTGCGCCGCATGAAAGAGCTCCGCCACTGCTCATGGGTCAGGGGCTGTGGCTGCCCCAGCAGGGACACGCCACCCTGCCTTAGTCCCCATACCATTCCTTCCAGTGCCCCTTCACTGCTGTCTGTGGGAGCAGGGAGCAGGATGAGGCTGTGCCCTCAGCCCTCCACCCAGTGCCCAATGCCCAGCTCCCAACTCCAATGAACACCTGCTGGAGGGCCGAGGGAGGTCCTGGGGCTGCGCTGTGTCGGGGAGGCAGCAGGTGATATGTCTCCATGGAGTGGACTCCCAGTTTGAGATGGGCTGGGCTGAGGCAGGGTAAAAGGAGAGAGAGCCACATCCTGAGCCCCGTGTCCAGCTATTCTCCCTCCATCCCTGACCGGAAGTAGTCCTCGACTCACCGAGGCTGAGCGGGACGCAGTCTCATCATCAGGGTCTTCTGCTTCTGTCTCACTGTAGCAGTCTAGGGTGGTGGGGAGCAGGTGGGGAACCCACAGGGTTTGGGAAAGCCAGGGAGGAGGCTGGGGGCTTTAAGTTCAAGCCCCCAAACCAGGAACAGGAGAAGCTCAGGTGAGACCTGATTCTTCCTCCCACCCCTGTGAGAGACCTACCTTCCTCTCGGGCTGAGGGGGCCCTTCCTGGGGACTGATACTTGGAAATGCAGGTAATGAGATGGCGTACCCACCTGTGGAGGAACAAACAGGTGTCAGGAGTTTCCATTCACTGAGGCCTTCTTATATCAGGGGATTTATATCAACATCATCTTTTAATCTTCAGACTAACTGGAAGAGGTGGGAACTCTTATTCACCCATTTTACAGATGGTGAAACTGAGGTTTAGACAGCGAGCACCTTGACCATCCACTGCCAGAGGGCTTGGATTTAGACCCAGGCTCCTGAGTCCAGCTCCTAAGCATTCAGAGTCTGGGAGCTATGCGGGAGTAGGGCGAGGGAGGTGGCACTCACAGGCTCAGATCAGACAGGGTGTCAGCAGCAAAGACAAAGGGTTTGTACACGTCATGGGTGAGCTGGAACACACTGCCGGGAGCAGAGAGCATCACTGAGCCTCCTCCAGGGCCTGGAATCCCAGCCAACTGCCATGCACCCCCCCCACCCCCCTTCTTTTCCCGTCCTCCAGCCCGTCACACCCCAGGACTTAACTATTTTTTCTTCTGATCGTGTCCACTTTCCAGGCTATAGTTAGATACATTGATGAGGCCCTGAGCCTTTTCATCCTGGGGAATCACACAGAGGGTCAGTGTGGGGCCCCCAAACCCTCCAGGCAGCTCCTTAGTCACCCCTCAGACTGCTCAGGGCGATAGAGGGGAGAGTGTGTTTTCGGGGCTCTAACTGCAAGTCTCTAGGTTTCTGGGCCTCAGGGCAGGAGGTGTAGCCAAATGGTGCCTCTGAGCCAGAAAAGGGGAACAAAGGTACCAAGAGAAACAGCTAAAAAAGAGGAGCCCTCCTGCACTGGTTCCCACCAGGAACACAAGGCTGCTTCATGGCCCTGGGCTCGGCAAATGCTTGGTCCCTTCCCAGTTTTCTTTCCCCTTTCATCTGACTAACTCCCAGGTATTATTTTCTCAGAGAAGCTTCTGGACTCCTTCAGGCTAGACTGGACACCTCTGCTGGGCTCCCACATATCTCTTGGGCAAACATCTCAGCACATTTCCTACACTGCCTGGAGTATACGGGAGCCACCCCCAGATCTTTCAAACTGCTTTTACACACTTATTAACTCATTTTGGGAGAAACCGTCCCTGTTCTGCTGATGGGAACACTGGGACCTGGGAAGGCCTGGGGGCCACCTGTGACAATGGGAGCAGATGACTTGCTTGCTACCTATGCCCATGTGTGTGGTGTCTCACCTGGGGCTGCTGGTACCAGTAGAGCATGTGTCCCTTAAGCACAAACCAGCAGCGGCGCCAGCGTGGGCCCATGAAGCCGCCAGGGGCCTTGCGCAGCAGGAGCCAGCCATCACAGTCTGGCTGGCCCAGCTCCCGGCAGGACACCCGCCGGCGGCTCAGCCTCGTCGCCACCCCTGCAAGCAACGTGGCACAGCCCAGGTGGTGAGGGGCTGGCAAAGAATTCCAGCCCCCAAACTGGTTCCCTTGCCCACCATGAGCATTCCCGAGACATATGAACCCACACTTTTGCTGAGGAGGGGACGACTCTCCATTTTAGAGAGGAGGAAACTGGAAATCAGAGAATAAGCCATTTGCTCAAAGGCACAGAGGTCTGGGCTGGGAGCACGGGTCTGTGTGACCCCAGAAAAGAGCTGTTTCCAGGATAGGCTGGGTGGGGAGCATGAGGGGTGGTCTTGCCCAGCTCTGCAAAGGTTTCAAGAGCTCCTCATTTCAGGGATACAATATGCCACCCAGTCAGGGACACTCGTACCTTTTGATTTCTTCCGACCAAGGACAGGACTCTAAAAAGACCATATAGGGGTTAGAAAAGGGTCTAGGCCCTCAGCCCACATCCCTCCTTGCAGATCCGCTGAGCTCACCTTGTCAGGGTGTCCCGAGGGGCCTGCAGTCTCTGCTATTCCTGCTGGGAGGGCAGGGGGGCTGGGCAGGGGCTCAGGGTCAAGGGAGGTAGAATCTGTCAGGGAGGGAGCAGGGAGGGTGTCAGCATCTAGGTCAGAGTCAGGCACTCGGACACCTTGCCAGGGGCACCCACTACCTGGCGGGGTTTGAAACTACCTGTCCAGGCAGTGGTGGGCTCAGGACTTGGGTCTGAAGTCAGGTCAAAGGCAAAGACGTCTTCAGATGGGACTCTGGGGAGAGCAAGGGGAGATGAGATGCGTCCATGGTCCCCCCACGAAGACACACCCAGGGCAGAGTCTGTTACCTGGGAGACAGTGGGGCCAGAGCCAGCGACTGGCTTCTCAGGTGTGGGGAGTCCAAAGGCGTCTGGGGAACAACCAGAAACAGGGTGACCAGGATGACAACAGGGGTCTGAAAGCAGGTGGGGGTGGATGGGGACAGGTACCTGGGGGGGTGTCTCTGGCACAGGGATCTTCTTCAGCACTAAGCTGACCCCGGCTGGCTCCCGTAGCAGCTCCCTCAGCATGTTCTTGTGGGGCCAGCCCACCTAGGGGACGGGGTGCAGGGAGGGGCAGAGGCACTGGGTTGGCATCAAGCTGGGCAGGAGCTCTGATGCAGCCCAACAACCCCTGCCTTCACGCTTGGAGCTGTGAGCTTCCTGCTTCTGCCTCACCTCACGAAGCCTCCAGGAAGCCACCAGGAGCCCTTCACCTTGGTGGCTCCTCAGAGGCAGGGGAGAACACCTAGGGAAGGATCAGCTGAAAAGTGGGTGGGGCTGTCACCTAGGATCAGTCCTGACCTTCCAGAGCTGGGTCATCTCGCAGAAAGCAACTCCCACAACCCTGCTCCCCTCCAGGGACAGCACCCCCACTGCTTCCCCACCAGCCCTGGGTTTCCTCACTAGCCCCCTCCCCTCCACACAGCCCCCTCCCCCTCGCTCACCACCACCTGCTCGTTGATCTGAACAACCTCATCTCCAGGCAGGACCTGCCGGCAGGAGTCAGTGGGGACCTGGAATGGGGATTGGGGCCCAGGAGTGAGCTTTCCTGGGGCCTGGAGCTGGCGTGGCTGCAGGTGAGAGGCCTCAGGGCTGGGTAGCTGGCAGGGTGGGGGTGCTCTCACCTGGGTGCACACTCGGGACACAAAGTGCAAGCAGTTACTGGTGGTGTAGATTTCCACGCCCTGAAGAGGCAGAGGCTATGGTCATTGAGGGCTTGATTCTAAGGTGGGTGGAACTGGGGACAGAGCTGGCCCCAAGAGCATACTGCTCCAACTTGCTGTGTCACTTTGGGCTTGTTGCTCCTCTCTGGTCCTCTGTTCACCCTCTGATAAAGGGCCAGGAGGAAGCTGGGGTCACTGATTTCTGAGGTACTAGATTCTCGGCAACTTTCTTGAAGGGAGAGAGAGGGATGGGGTGGGAGAAGGGCAGGGCTGGGAGCTCTGATTTTCCCAACTGGTTAAGATTAAAGCAGAAAAGTTCATGTCCTGTCCCCTCTATCCTAACCTGCCCCTGAGCCTCTGCCAGGTCTGCGTCACAGAACACAGGAACATGCCACCTGAGACCATGCCATGCAGACCCTCAGGACTGGGGAAGGTGCTGGATGATGGTGAGATCCCAGGTAGGTTGTTTGGACCTCTGTTTTAACATCTGTACCTGACAGGTTTCCAGCTACCAGTATAGGAGGCTGGGGATCCTAGACCCCATTTCAGGGCCCAAAGTGTCAAGGGCTCAGAAGTGACAGGTGACAGGGCAGGGCTCACCGAAGGCTCTTCCAGCTGCACCTGCTCCAGCACAGCCCTCTGCTCCAGCAGCTCTTCTGGGCTGCAGCTCAGGATGCTGCGGCAGATCTCGGCCACTTGGCTGCACTGGGGAAGGGAGCAGATTGTGAGGCTGAGCCTGATCCCTGCTCCCATCGCACTCCACAGGCACCCCACAGACTCACGATCCTCAGGACTCTCCTTTCCTTCTCGGCCTCTGGGAAGTCCTAGAAGCAGAGAGAGGAGGCCTCCCCTGTAACCCTAACCCTAACCCTGTGTAAGGGTCATGGGGGAGGGGGACTGCCTTCTCCTGAGGACATGGGCAGGTCCCTCCTGTCCCTCCCGGCTTCCCCTATTCTGGCCTTTTCCCAGACCTATAGGGCCTCAAAATCTCAACCCCAAGGTCTCATCCTCCTGACACCAGGCCCCCAAAAGTCACCATACATTCTCCCCCTACCACCACCTCCGGAGCATTAAGAGCCCTGAGCTTCTCTGCCAAAAAGGAGACCCCCATACTCCTGCTGCCCCATACCCAGTGGCAGGACCTCCTCTTCTCCTGCGCTCTTGCCCCAGCTCTCACACTCAACCCTGGTCTGATTCACAGGTTATAAAAAGCTCCGGCCTGGTCTGGTCTCGGGGCTGGGCCAAGCCTGGCCCATGTCCTCCTACCTCCTGCAAGATCTGGCTCAGTTCCCCGCACAAGGCCCCGATCTCCTGGCAGGCTGAGAAGTCATTTAAGTGGGAGAAGAGGTACCTGGCAGGGGAAGAATGGCACAGGGGCTCAGGGGCGGTGCTGGGCCACTTGGAGACAATTTCTCATCTGAGACTTTGGGAGCATACACAGCTCCTGCCCTGATGAGTGTTGCTTTGGAATAAAGGAGATAACTGATATATCTAGAGAGGTCAGCACAGGAATTATTTGTCATGTAACTATTAGGTACCAGGCCCTCTTCTAGTTACTGGGGAGACGGACAGTAAACCTGTCATTATGTCAATAATGATTTAACTCTGACTGTAATGAGTGCCCGAGATGTAGAGCTCTGAGAATGACTTGACAGGGAAAGAGTTCCAGAGGAGGTGACACTTGAGGTGGGACCTACAGGACAAGCAGCAGCAGCTATTGAAGGGTCAGAGAACTCTCCATTTAATGGCTGTTGATAAGACTGTTGTGATAACAAGTGGGCAGGATGGGAATCCAGGTGGTCAGCGCCCCTGCCCAGACAGGCTAACTGCTCTGCCATGTCTGAACAAGAGCCATCCTGTTCTTCTCTCCCAGGTCCTGGAGCAAGCCAAGGATGAGAAGGGTCCCCTTACCAGTCACGCCAACCCGGGTACCTGTTGAGCCAGAAGAGGAGCACACGGGCGTCACGCACCAGCTCCACAGCTGCGCTGAGCACATCCGCAGGGGTCTCAGCACAGTCCCCCAGGCGGCCTTGGACTAAGCTCTGGAGGGCCTGGGTCCCCTCCAGCAGCCGCTCTGTCAGGGTCTGCAGGTTCTCTGTCAGCAGCCCAGAGCTCTGTGCCAGAAAGGGCCAGGTCACTGCTGCGGCAGTAGCCCCCGCCCTCAGTTGGCAGACCTGCCATCAGTGTGGCCATAGTTCGCTCACCAGGGCCCGGAGCTGTTCCACCCCATCCAGAATGAGCTCCTGATGGCCCAGAGGCCACACGGTCAGAGCCTCGAGGCTGCGGGGACAGAGCTGGAGCAGGTACTTGCCAGGCAGCTCCCAGTCTTCAAAGGGATAGTCCTGCAGGGAGTCATCTAGGCCTGCGGCAGAGCAAGGGTTGGCAGGAGGGGAAACAGGGGTCACGACCTTTCACCAGTTCTTCACTCCAGCAGACCTCGTTTCCCTCCCATCTGTCCCCAATGACACCCTGGGACTCAGGCTGTGTTCTGTCTATTTCACACCCGAGGCCACTGAGTAGCTGAGGACTGTATGGGCAGTGGCTTTCAAAGGTGGTCCTTGGACCAGCAGCAGCTGCCTCACTGGGGAACCTGTTAGGAATGCAAATTCCCAGGTCTCAGCCCCCAACTACTGGAGCAGACACTTAGGGCTAGACCCAGCGGTTTGTGTTTAACAAATCCTGCAGGTGACTCTGATGTTCCCCTAAGACTGAACACTAGTAATATAGAGGATGAGAGCGAGGGACTTGGAGTCAGGGAAACCTGAGAGCTAGCCCTTGAGCAATTAATGATTGATCCATGCCTCAGTTTCTTTACATGTAAAATGGGAACACAAAAGTACCTACCTTCTAACCACATGTGTATTAAATGACATGATATATGTCAAACACTTGGTCCATTCCCTGGTTTGTGGTAGATGGGCAGTAAATAGCAGCCATCATATTATTACTGCCAGACTCTACCATGATTTACAAGGCCCTGCATGATTAGGTCACCACCTGTCCTTCCAGGATTGTGGCACAACCCCTCCAACTCAACACTTCAGATCCAGAGAACCAACTCCTTGGAAAACTCTTTTGCCTCAGGGTCCCCACATGCTCTGTTCCTTCTGCCTGGATTGCTCTTCCAGTTCCATCATATCCTTTTGTTTACAGAACCCCAAATACCTTCCACAGCTCCCCAGGTTGGGTGGGGAAGCCTCTCCTCTTGGTTCCACTGTCCCCTGAGCCTCCACATACCCTGGTACTTGAACATCAGTCTTTTCTATCATTGGTCCTTCAAAGACCAGGCCTTAAATAACCATTCATCCCTAATCTCCAGCCTATTTCTGACACAAGGCAGACACTCAAAAATAAGAAAACTCTCTCTTGAGCGCTTACTTAGTGCTAGGAAAAGTTTTATGGGCTTTACATATATTGACACATTTGACCTCTGCCTCATTTCTATGAGGTGGGTACGATAGTCATACCCATTAAACAGATGGGAAAACTGACACAAGGGCGAATAAGCAGCTTGCTCACTCTTTGGAGGAATTCCACCCTGTGGGAGCCAGGCTTTCATTGGGGAATTTGGGTGTGTGGTCAATAGCGCTCCCTCATGCCCACAGTGGCATTAAGAGCATTAAGAGTTCATGAATCTGTGGCTCCCTGGCTATGGATCCTTGAACAACTTCACAGTGAATGTGTTGGACCACCTGCCTCCCAGCAGACCCCAGAACTGAGTTACAAGTGCTAGCCACGCCAAGACTATCTCATTTTGTCCACTTCATGGACAGAGAAACTAAGGCCTATGGTCACAGAGCCAGTGAGTGGTGGAGCTGGCCTGAAACCCAGTTTGGCAGTGCGGCTCCAGTCCTGAGTGGGCTGCTCACCCTGAGCCTGACCCCAGGCCACTCAGGCTGCCCCGGCTGGGAGGAGTGTCCTGACTCACCGCCCACTCCAGCGGCCCCCACAGAAGGTTCTCACTGGGTCTGTCTGCACTTTGTGGCTCATTGGGCCTAGGGAGCCTCTCCCTGGAATGGGAGCCCCCAGAGTGGGACTGTGTCACCCACTTCGGTCTGGCTGGGGCTTCTGCCTCTCCCCCTGGGAGTCTCAGCCTAAAAGGGGGATATGACACCAGGACCGCTCCTGTTTCAAGCCAGCAGACCACTTCCTGGCTGTGCGGCAGGTTCAGCTTCTGAGAAATGGGTTTAATACTGCTCTCTGGGCCCTGGGGCACAGGGAAGAGGGAGGCGACAGAGGGCCCCTCGGTTTTCATGGCCTCCCCTTCCTGGGACCTCTTGGTATGCAGGGACGATGAGGGACCCACGTCTGGTCCCGAGGCCCTCGGGGGCCACCGGTCATCCGGGCACAGTACCTGGGACACGGCAGACCTCCATAAACACCTGTTGACTAACAGACTCCGCGGGTTTTGCCCTTTTCCTCGCCCGACTTTCTGCCGACGCGACGCCGCGTTAGCGCCCCGCGGGCCCCCTCCTGCCCCAGCCCCACCCCCACCCACCTCGCAGCCAGGCTGCCACCTTCCCGGGGGTCCAGGTCTCCACCGGCTCCATGCCCGGCTCCGCCCGCCGCGCCCGCCCGCGCAGGAATTTCCGCTCTGGGAGTCGCGGCCCGGGGCGGCGCCGGGCTGGGCCGGGGCGGGGCCGCCGCATACCTGGGCCCACGTGGCCGCGCAGGTGAGGCACCGCCGCAGCCATTGGCCCACCAGCTGTCCGCCTCCTGCCCCGCCCTTCTGGCATTCCTGGGCTCTGCCGGCCAGGGGGTGTGACTCGGGCGACTCAGAGCTGGACTGAAGTCCCGCCCCAAATGGGCTTCGTGTCCCGGAGTGGGGCCTACACCCGCAGGATCCTGGAAAAGGAGCCAGAAGGGGGGCAAAACGCACCTAGCAAAGCAAGAGGGGGTGCGGGGGTGCTGTGACCTGGGGCTGACCCTAACTTGTGTGCATCAGTCCCAGATCTGTAAACTGGACTTCATAGTTTCTGCTTCAGAGGGTACTTGCCGAATATCGGCGTAAATAGCTCCCAAACATTTACAACGGAAGTTTTTAGCTCCCTCTTTATCTTGCACCCCTTCTCCATCTGGTGGGGCTAATTGGACCGTTTCTCAGAATGTGGCTATTTATTTATTTATTGAGACAGGGTCTCACTATGTTACCCAGGCAGGTCTTGAACTGATGGGCTCAAGTGATCTTCCTGCCTCAGTTTCCCCGGTAGCGGGGACTACAGGCACATGCTACCATGCCAGGCCAGAATAACACTTTTATAAGCAGAAAGCAGGAAGCTTAAATTGAGCGTGGTTGCATAGTCCCGTCAGCCCTGTTCCTCGAGAGGGTGAAGCAGGAGAATCACAAGTTCAAGACACTCCTGGGCAACTAACCAAGACTCTGCCTCAAAATAAAAAATAATAAATAAAAAAAGGGCTGGGGACATAAGTCAGTGGAGAGCACTTGGCTAGTGTGCACAAATTTCTGGGTTCAATCCCCAGCACTAGGATGAAAGAAGCAGGGTGGAGGATGCAGAAGAGTAATGGAGAAGCCTGGGTCACCAGCATGAGAACAGGTGGATTCACCATTTGGTCTCTGAACTGCCAATTATCATTGGTAGGTGCCCAATGAGTGGCTGCTGTATCACAGAAGGGTCTGAAATAGAGAGTGCCATCAGATCTGGTTTAACAGTGGGTTAATAATTACCATGATTGTGAAACAGTTGTGAACATAAATATCTCAATAACTACAATTTGATATGAAAATATGGGATTTCTATTGATGACAAAGCCAAAGATAATGTTACTACTTTAATCCACATAAAAAGAATTGGTAAACCAGGCTTGGTGGTACATGTCTGTAATCCCAGTGATTTGGGAGGTTGAGACAGGAGGACTGCAAATTTGCCACCAGCCTTTGCAATTTTAGAGGGCTGGGGATATAGCTTAGTGGTAAATTATTGCCCCTAGACTAAATCTCCAGTACCAAAAAGAAAAAAAAAAAAAAAAGAAAGAAAGAAACAGAAAGAAAAAAAATGACAAATTTTGGTTAGAGATTAGTGAAAATAAATATATAGACATACTTCTTTACCACCCAACTTTATGAATTCCCCTTAATTCTTTTTTTTTTAATCCCTTGATTTCTGAAGCCCAGATAAAAGCCTTCATTTAAGAAAAATGTCCGGTACACACTAAGTATTCATCATCATTAATACTAAGTATTCACCATCATTTCAAGCCAGGAGACTCCTAGGACTTTGGAATCTGAATAAGTTCCAGGCTCAGGTGCAGCATAAATGAGTCCAACTTCTACAATTCTCTGTACCTGTTTCTTTTCTTCTGGGGGCGGGGAGTGGTACTAGGGATTGAACCCAGCTGCACTTAACTGCTGAGCCACATCCCCAGACCTTTTTATATTTTGAGACAGGGCCTTACTAAGTTGCTTAGGGGCTTGCTAAATTGCTGAGGCTGGCTTGTGATCCTCCTGCCTCAGCCTTCTGAGCCACTGGGACTATAGGACAGCACCACTGCACCCAGCTGTACCTGTTTTCTGCTTTTAAAAGGGGGACACTTAGACAGTAGAGGTGTGAAAACATCTTTTAAATAGTTTTAAATCTATCCCATGTGGTAGATTTTAATTGTTATTGCTGTAATTCTGTGGGAATGGGCCTAAAGGGCTTCCTAGAACCTGCCTCTGGCTGTGCTGCCTTCAAAAATCTCTATCTTGGGCTTGGTTGCCATGGCATGTGCCTGTAATTTCTAGAACTCACAAGGTTGAGGCAGTAAGATCACAGGTTCAAGGTCAGCCTCAGCAATATACTGAGGCCTTCAACAACTGAGACTCAGTCTCAAAATGAAAAATAAATAAATAAATAAATTTTAAAAAGGCTGAGAATCAGCATACTACAGTAATGCAGCCATGTCAATGTTTATAGCAGCTCAATTCACGTTAACTAAACTAGGGAACCAACCTAGGTGTCCTTCAATTGATGAATGGACAAAGAAAATTGGTATATATACTCAATGGAATATTACTCAGCTTTAAAGAAGAGTAAAATTATGGCATTTGCCAGTAAATGAATAGAGTTGGAGAATATCATGCTAAGCAAAACAAGCCAATCCCTGGATGTTTTCTTTAATATGCGGATGCTAGTTCACAATGGGGGGGGGGCACTAGAGAAGAATAGCATTACCTTAGATTAGGCAGAGGGAAGTAAAGGAGGAGAGGGGAGGAGATGCAGGGATAAGAAAGATAGTAGGTTCAATCCCCAGTATGTATGAGTGTGTGTATGTATGTGTATGTATATATATATATAATTTCTATCTTTCGTGCCCCGACACCCAGCCTTCAAAGCCTGTAGATATCCTACCTGTAGCTCACAGTCTGAATTCCAGTGGACCCAAGGATGGCCCGTGCAGTGTAGCCATGTGTGTGTTAGTTGTCCTCATTGAATAATTTCATATCCAAATTGAGATCTCCAGTCTCTCTGGAACTTGGCCAGCTCTGAGGACCCCCTCCCACCTTCACATTTGGTATCAGCAAGAGGGGAATGGCAGCTACTTCCTTCAAGGACGCCTTGCCTCCTTCCACTTGTGAATGAGTAGGTTCAGAATTTGTGGCCCTCCCTCACTTCTCTGGCTTTGTTCTTTACCTACTGTCTTCCTGCCCTGTGATGTCTATGTCCCTAGGGCCATGCTGTATCCTCCTTTAACATTTTTGCCTCTTTATACAACAGCCTCCCCAGGACACTCTGGGTGAGCCCAGTAAACTCTAACAGAGTACAGGGTGGTAGACATATCTGTCTCCACCATCCTGATGTCATCAAATCCTTATCCTGAGCTGGCACCAGGCGGAGGTTGAGAACCCAGTCTAATTTCTTTTTTTTTTGGTATTTGGAATTCAACCCAGGGGCACTTTACTTACCACTGGGCTAAATCCCAAGCCCTTTTTTTTTTGTTTTGTTTTTGAGACAGGGTCCTGCTAAATTGCTAAGGACCTCACAAAGTTGCTGAGGCTGGCCTTAAACTTAAGATCCTCCTGCCTCAGCCTCCTGAATCCCTGGGATTACAGGCATGGACTGAAATGCCTCAGTTTACTATTTTAACATACTGTGGAGGGCTTAATCAATATATACAGATCTTTTTATTATTGTTCCCAAGCTGAGGATAGGGAAGTCCTTGCAGGAACTTTGTCTTGAAGAAGGAGGTGAAATGTGCCCTCCTTCCAAGGAAGAGAGCACATTTGTATATGGTTGATCATATAGAAACCAAATAGAAAAGATGTACTGCTGTTAAAAGAAAGACTAATAATGTACCCTGTCGCTCCTGATTGGTGGCATCTATTATCTGAGGTAGGAATAGGGTCTGGACCAGAGTTGAGGGAAACCTGCCCAGTACCTGCCCGTGCCTGGGATTCCTGAGCACTGGCAGCCAAGGCCACTCCTGCCGATCTGGCCTGGCCTCCCTGGTGAATGGGGGAGGTGCTGCTCAGGCCTGATGCTGATCTCTCCTGACAGCTGCTTCCAAGGCTGGCAGGATGGCAATCCGTGGGGGAAGGGACCAGATTTAAAGATCCAGCGGTCCCTCCCCCTGCCAGATCGCAGCAGGCCAGTCACGGGTGAGCATCCTCTGAGGGCATGGCTTTTGTGCATATGGGAGGTCAGAGACCCTTGTACCCTCATTTCCACTTCTTGGTACCATGAACACCACTGGTCTTCATGTCTGCTAGCATCCCACAGGCCGCCTAGGAGACCGGTGGCTCCCACCATGCGATTTCGACGCCTGACCCCAGGCTACTTCCGGGTACTACAGGTAAGTACCCCTAACTGATGGTTTCTGGCACCACTGACCCCTTTTTCCCAACAGTTCCCCTTGATACCCCCAATAGCCAGGCTGTCACGTTCCCTGCCGCCTGACTAGCCAGAACCCAGATGGGCAGTGAAGCGAGAGGGACTGGGGTGGAATCTCCCCGGGGCGGCAATGGTGCCCGTACTGCCCTCACTCAGCTGCACCGTCCCTGCTTCTGCCTGCCTAGAAGTCTCCATCGACCCCTCAGCTACACCTTCTTCACCGTAGATGCAGGTAGCCGGGAAGCTGAAGGCAGAGCCCCGGAGTCCGCTGGCTGGGGTTGTGGCTACACTGCTGGCTGTCCTCGGGCTGGGCGGCTCCTGCTATGCCGTCTGGAAGATGGTGGGGCAACAGCAGCCGCCAGCACAGGCCCCATGACAAAGCAGGCCGCCTCTCACCTGGGCTTTGGAGGTAGGTGACTCAGGAGGAGACTGCAGTCTCAAAACCTCCTTTTCTAGGAATCAGTCCTTGCCCTCATTGGAAGCAGAATAGAATAAATCTTATCCTACTCCCCCACTTCACACTGCATCTGGGGTCCAGGTGAGATGCTAAGACTCCAGAAGGAGGGAAGGGATGTAGCTTCCAAAGCTGGACCAAGTAAGGAGTAGACACCTGGGCCTTGTATGTAGAAGGCAGCTGAGGACTCCTAATAGGGCAGGACTTTGCAGCCAGATGTGGCCTGGAAGTTAGAATCAGAGGTAAGCCCTTTGTCCAGTTCCTTTATTGGGGGACAGGCACCCAGAGGAGGCCAAACCCTGAATCCAAAGAGATTGGCACACTCTCTCCCAGCCTAGCCCTTACACCGCTGTCCATAGGCAGCTCCTCTGCCCTGAATCCTCAGGCCTTGTCATGCAGAAGTGTCCATCTCAGGGACTTCAGTGGACACTTCTGTGGGCACTGCCAGTCGCCGGGGTGGCACATAGGAACCCATGCCCGCTGCCCTCTCTGCCTCTTCCTGACTGTAGGGCTCAATGCTCAGCTGCTTCAGCCTGGGGAAAAAGAAGAACACAAGTTGGGAGCTGACCAAGTGCATGCCCAGCATGCCCTGCATGCCCCACACCCACGCATCAACACTCTTCTTACTCCTTCATACCTTTTCTTGTGGTCTTTGGATCGGAAGTGGGTCTTCAGGTTGGCGGAATCGACAAAGTACCTCCTGCAAGGAGAGGGTGAGAAGACTGAGGAGGTGATGCGTCTCAGATATGCCTGTCTCCCTGACCCTAGCTCATTCCCCGACGCCAGGCTCCGGGGCTGGAGGGATGGATGGGAGAGGACTGGTCCAGAGAGGAGATCCTGCGTGGCCCGGCCCTCACAGCTCCCAGCCAGTACAACAGACCCTCTCTCTCCCCACGCTGGACTCGGCCGCGACTCACCCGCAGGCCAGACAGCGATGCAGGCCGCCCCCCGGCAGGTCAGGGTCGGGCTCTGTGTTCGGGTTGGGCTTTGCCGGTGCCGGACCCTGCGGCCGCAGCTCGCGGTGAATCTCATCCAGGTCGGGTCGCCGCCGCTTAGCCTTCATTTGGCGGGCCAAGGAGTGCGCTCGGTGCGCGCCTGTGCGGCGGGAGCGACCCATGGCCAGTGACAGCGGGACGAGAGGGCAGGGAGCGGAGAGGGGGCCGCACGTGTACGCGCTTCCCTAAAGCTCAATGACGTCACGAGACGCCCGGGGGCGGGGCCGGACCTGCCCGACTGTTTCTGATGGCGTCACTCGTACGGTCCGCGACTTCAGCGCCCCCAGGCGGCGGCGGACGGGCGTGACGGAGCCTGCTCGCCCACGGCGGGAGGCGGCGCGTAGCTGGGGAGGGCGGGGAGCGACGTGCGCCTGTGGAGTTCCGGGCGGGTCCTGTTGCACTGTGCGCCCGGCGCGGCGCCATCATCCTTTCCTGGTTCCCACACCTTAAACCCTACGGTGGAGGGTCTAAGCTTTAAGCATCTCTGGAAGGCACTAATAATGCATGTAAAACGAATAAATTAATAAATGATGAGTGATTGAGTTTGGGATCCCGACTCCAACAGGGCTTTCCGAGATACCTGCAGCCCCTGGCAAGCCCTCAACCCTTCTCGCTTCTTCCCAGTTATTCTATTAAGTCTCTGTCCTCTGCCCGCCCGCCAGGCAAATCCAAGGTGTGTGGGGGGGTGCTGTTCCTACCCAAAGACCCCAGCACCCGGGTCTCCCGTCATTTAACTCCTCTCTCGCAAGAGGAGATACTCACAGAAAGACCCCTATTGCTGCCTCTTTTCTCTGGGCTGGACTTCCCAGGAGAGGGCTTACAGCAAGGGCAGAGATAACTAAATGTTGTAGGCTCACAGGAGGGGCGAGTGCCAGAGGGCCATTCCTCATTCATTGGGTCCTGGTGCCTACCAGACTGGCTAGAGACAACTCCCCTGGACGGTGCCAGAGAAGCTCAGCAATAATTCAGGGGCTCCAGCTCTTTGGAACCTGTTGCCAGGAAACAGAGAGACAGGCACGTGCATCCCTAGGGAGAAGAATAAGTTTCCAGGCCAGACAAAGAAGTGAAATGTAAGCCCAAGGTGCTGACAGCGTCCAAGGATCTTCCCACTCCTGTTCATGAAGGCTGAGTGGGGACAGAGTGGCCCTGCCAAGGACATAGCTGGTATGGGGACACCAGTGTATGTCATCAACCTAAGGACTATGCAAATAAAGAGAATTTGTCTGAAGCCATTCCAAGAGATTGACAACCTTAAATATTCCTAAACCCAGGAAGGTGACCTCTTCAGAGAGATGTCTTTATTATTGGTGGCCAATATGGGTCAAGACAAGAGACTAAGTTGACAGAAGTCAGCCCCTTCTCAGACTCCTTTGGATCAGTTTCACCTGCTGGGCATTGTGCCAATTAGGGAGGTTGGTGCATCTTTAATGAAGTCACCTGATCGCCGGGACAGGCTCTTGGCCCCACCAAGTTCCCAGAGCCAGATCTATAGGTGCCCACTGAGTCACCACCTTCTGTGCCAGGGTGCCAGGCTCCTTTCTCTTGCAGCTATGAACCAGGCCTTTTGGAAAACCTACAAGTCCAAAGTGCTACAGACCCTGAGTGGGGAATCTGAGGAGGACCTGGCAGAGGAGGTGGGTACCCTTCATGCCTGCTGGGTGGGGCATGGACAGGGCAGCAGGAGGGACAGAAAGAGGAGGGAGAGGCACATTTGTATAGTAACTGTAGGCACATACAGGGATGGCAAGCAGCATGGTGCAGTCAGACAGCCAGGACACCTAAGAAAACTGAGGAAGGAGAGAAGAACTGTGGCTATGGGAGGAGTGGCCACTGTTTCCATCGACCCCAAGGGCTGCGCATGGAAGAAATTCTTCTAAGACCAGTAGGCAGTAGCCACACTCAGTATATGTGGCTTGACACAACTTTCTTTTTTTTTAAAATTTAATTTTATTTTTAAGAGAGAGAGAATTTTAATATTTATTTTTTTTAGTTTTCGGCGGATACAACATCTTTGTTTGTATGTGGTGCTGAGGATCGAACCCGGGTCGCACGCATGCCAGGCGAGTGCGCTACCGCTTGAGCCACATCCCCAGCCCTTGACACAACTTTCTAATAAGCAGAGCTAAGCAGAAGTGGGATGGCTTGCCTTGAGAGGTAGTGAGCCCTCTGTTACTAGGGGTAGGGGTGTGGCACTTGAACTCTGAGCACTGTGTCACTGTAGCAGTGTCACATCAAAACCAAACTTACATCATGCTTTGTTCTGATTTAAAAAAAAAAAAAAAAAGGCTCTGCATGCCTGTAATCCCAGCGACTCGGAGGCTGAATCAGGAGAATCCCAAGAACACAAGTTCAAAACCAGCCTCAACAATTTAGCAAGGTCCTTAGCAACTTAGTGAGATCCTGTCTCAAAATAAGAAATAAAAGGGGGTGGCTTGGATGTGGCTCAGTGGTAAAACTCCTCTGGGTTCAATCTCTAGTCCAAAACAAAACCAAAACAGCAACAACAAAAAAACTCTAGGTCTCCTGGCATGATGGCGCACACCTGTAATCCCAGCGGCTCAGGAGGCTGAGCCAGAAGGATCTCCAGTTCAAAGCCAGGGGCAGCAACGGCGAGCAGCTAAGCAACTCAGTGAGACCCTGTTTCAAAACAAAATACAAAATAGGGCTGGGGATGTGGCTCAGTGGTGGAGTGCCCCTGAGTTCAATCCCCAGAACCAAAAAAAAAAAAAAAAAAATCTATGTCTGGAAGCTGTGATAAGTAGCAGTCAAACAAACAGATGTGGCAGGGGCAGGAACTAGTCCTTTGGGGTAGGTATGTGTGGATAAGTGTATGTCTAGACAGGTTGGTGTCCAAAGTGGGGCCTGTGTGGAAGTCTGGGATGGGACTCTGGGAGGAAGCCCCAGTGGAGGGCTACTGCACTGCGAATTGGATCCAGGTGTCTGCAGGTGCTGGGGTTTGGGCTGGAGCACATGCCTGTCAGCCTTATGCTTGCGTGATGTGTGTGTCCGGGTGTCTGTGGGTAGGTGGAGAGGATTGTGTGCTGAGGATGGGCCTTTGTGCAGCTGTCTGCAGTTGTCCACGTGTAGGGGTGTGACGGCATGACTTCATGAGTCGTGTGGGTGCCCTGTGGCACATACAGGGGAAGAGCTTCGGCCCTGTGGGGGCATGCTCATGGCCAGCTATGTCTGTCTACATCACCATGCATACCCTTGCCCACATGTTTCTGGGGGCATCTAGATGTGTCTGTGGGTGGGCTGGTATGTGTGCTCAAGGGTGTCTGCAGGGTTTATCATACATGTGTACATACCTGTGGGCAGTCCCATGTGCCTTCATGGAGGTATGAGGTATGCAGGTGTGTGTTAAGTTCTGTGGGGTTGGGGTGCCTGTGTGTACAGGCTAGCCATGGGAAGGGAGGTCCCACTTTTCTGGGGCTTCTCTCATGCTCTATGGGGGTTTTGTGTCTCAGAGGGAGAACCCAGCTTTAGTGGAGTCTGAGACAACAGAACCTGCTGAGGAGGCCTTCAGTCCCGTGTCACAGCTGGCCCGCAGGGTGAGTTCTCCCTTCTTCCACCCAAACCCTGGGGAACTCATGGAGGCTGCTGTGGAGCCCTGGGAGGCTGAGCTGGGCCCTTTCCTGACTCCCAGCCCCTCCCTCCCAGGTTCAGGAAGTCGGGGTGAAAGGCTGGCTGACAATGTCATCTCTGTTTAACAAAGAAGATGAGGACAAGCTGCTGCCACCAGAGCCCTGTGCTGACCAGTATGTGTGTGTGTGTGTGTGTGTGCGCAGTGGGCAGTTCCAGAAGGGCCTGGGGTCTCTCTGCTCTCTTGTCATTTCCTTCTGATCTCTTTCTCTTTCTAACCATGGAGGGCTGGGGAGGGGCAGCTCCTGGCCCTTCTATTTCTCTCAGCAGGACACTCTACTCACACAGTGTATCTGGGAGTTTGGGTTAGATCTCAGGAATTTACCAGAATTGGGACTGAAGTTGGAGGGTGTTTATGGGCTGTCTTTCCCTACCACTGGGGAGAGGCCATCTCCTGAGAATCCCAACAGAGAGGTCCTCTAGGTGTTTGCAACATGCAAGAGCGAGTGGTTCGGAACAACCCTCATCCTCCAAGGGAACATGTGACCAACAAATTCTGGAACCCTCTTCCACAGATTGAGATTCAGGAGGCATGGGTAGTGCCGGAGGATCTCAGCAGACTGAGAGGCACACTAGTTTGGGAATCACTGCTTTGGAAAGCCTTTGATGCTCAGGGGCAGGGGGGGGGACACAAGCCTCTATCCCCCCTGCTCTGGCTCTAGCACCAGCACCCACTCCATGCCTGCCCTTTCCTCCAGCCCAGTCCACTCTCCCAGCGGTTGCCTTTCTGCCCCAGGGTCCTCCTGACCCATCCATCCATCCTGCCCCAGGGCTTTCTTTCCTCTCCCCAGCTCACCCCCTCTCCCTCCTGGTCCTGAAGGCTCTTCCCAGATCTGAGGCTCCCACTTCAAGCCTCACCTCCTTCCAGAAAGGCCCTTCCCCACATCTCCCCTCTACCTCCCAAGTCCCCCTCTCCCCTAAGCTTCGGGTCTAGGATTTTCCCTTTCCTCAGATCGCTCCACCTGTCTCTCCCAGGTCCCTAGTCACCCCACCTTTCCTTTATCCCAGAACCAGCCCCTCTGCCCAGTCCCACCTCGATTCCCTCCAGTGGGCTCCACAAGCCCTTGTCCCCACCCCACGTCTGGGTCTCACTCCTCTTGGCCACCTCTGACAGCTGCTCCCGGGTCGTCCCGCTCCCCCCTCCCCCCGCCACGCGGTCCCTTCTCACAGCCTGACTCCGCTTTCTCCAGGGATTCTGGTCTCTTCTCACCAGACGCCTGGCCTAATCCTCTGACCCCCGACCCAACCAGGAGCCTCCTTCCCAGTGCCTCCCCTTGCCCGCAGGCCCTAAGTGACCTCCTCCTGACTCCCTCTGCCCCACTGCTCCACTCGGTTCCCGCCTCTGTCCATTATTCCTTTCTGGGACCCCTGGCCTGCCCCTTGGGACCCGGCCCTCTCCTGTCGCTCACCCGCCCCTCTCTTGCAGCCCTCTGGCCGCGCAGCCCACCTCGCAGGCGGGGGCCACCGAGGCAGAGGCGCGCGGCACGGGATTCTGGGATGCGTTCGCCAGCAGGTGGCATCAGCAGCAGTCCATGCTGCGGGGCGCCGAACCCACCCCGAATGCGGACCCGGAGCCCCAGGACCAGGCCAAGGAGGAGGCTAACGAGCGCCCGGAGCCTCGGGAGGTGGACCCCGCGGCCGGCTTCAAGTGGGATTTCCTCACCAACAAACTGGCCGAGATGAGGGTGAAGGCCGTGCCCAAAGGTGACTAGCCGGCACGCCAAACTGGGCACCAGCCCTCCGCAGCCCCCATTAAAAAAAAAAAAAAAAAGTAGCCCTACACCTCGTGTGACGGCGTTTTTGTCCGGACAACAGGAAAAGCAAAAGCTATTTTGGGGTGGGTGGTCTCAGGCGGGGTCTAGTTGGAGATGTCCTCGCACCTTTCCCCACAAAAGTGCTGGCCTAAAATGACCAGGTGGCACACGCCTGTAATTCCAGACACTTAGGAGGCTGAGGCAGGAGGATCGCAAGTTCAATGCCAGTCTCAGCAACTTAGCCAGACCCTGTCTCAAAATAGAAAATAAAATAAAATTTAAAAGGTCAAGGTGGCTGGGTGACTTCGGGAAGCCGGGACTGGCTCCATTACTGGCTCAGCCCCATTCGGTTCAACAAACGTGGCCGGTGGTCCCTCTACTATGGAAAGGTCAGACACTAAGGAGAGAACTCACTACCAGCGGGTCCCACAAAAGGTGAAAAATTGGGGCACAAAAATAGGGCCGCAGAGGGGAGCTTAGAAGAGGTGAGGCCGACTGGGGAATTCAGGAAGGCTTCCAGGAAAATTTTTAAAGATGAGTATAGAGAGAGGGAAAGGAAACCGAGGCCAAGGGAGGAAGTGCGTGAACAAAGGCTTAGAAGTGGGAATCTGAAAGGAAAATATGCGACCGGTGTATCCTTGAAAGAAAGGGGAGCAGTAGCTGATTGTAAGGTTGCTGGCTGGCAAAATCCGGGTTTGAAGGGTCCCTCCTTGTAGCGACCACAATTTCAGATCCTCGCGTCTCAGTCGTTCTTACCCACTGACCACAAGGGGGCAGCAAAGCGTCGGGAATGAGGACATTGGGCGGGGGGGTCAATGGACCCCAGGTTTCTGAAACAGAGGCTTCCCCGGGTTTTCCTAGCTCTAGTTTGGATCAACTTTTGGGTCGGTGGCAAAAATGTTCGTATTAGTGTCGGTACCAATTTGATAGTAGTCAAAGCAGCTATTGTTTATTGAGCTCTTTCTATATTCCAGGCACTTTGCTATTCAGATATTTTTTATTATCTACTACTCTCTCCTCCCTTTTAAAACCAAGGGGTGCAGCTTTTGTCCAGAGAGGTTAAGTGCTTGCCCAGGGTCACACAGTCAGCCTGGAACCCACACTCCGAAACGGTTGCGCTTAACCACGCAAAACTGCTCACCCTCTTCTTCAACATCTGCCCCCAATCTAAACTCACGACCCACTTAAATAACGGTTTCGATTTATTCAGTAGGTTGGCTCCCATCTCACTCCAGTCATCATCACCCCCCACCCCAGCCACGAGGTCGCTGCCTCCCCTTCCGCAGCCTGCCCTGGGAAGGGACTTCGGGCGCGTTTGGTCCCGCCTCCCCAAGGTTCAGAGGGGTAAACCGAGATCCAGAGGAAGGGCTCGCCCATAGGCGCCGCGCGCCTCCGAGGCAGTGCGTCTCCGCGGGTGTCCAGGTGCAGCCAGCGCTCCCAGCTCCCGGGGCGCCGCCTCGGGGGCGGCTGCCGTCACACCTCGGACTCTCGCGGCGGGCCGCGGGCGCGCTGGCAGCCGTACAGCCACTGGATGACGCGCGCGTTGCGCTCCACCACCGACACCGCAGGCCGCCCGTCCCGCGCTGAGCCCGCCGCCTCCGAGCCGCCGCCACCGCCTGCAGCGTCCCGGCCGGCCGCGCCCCCGTCGCTGGATGTCCAGTCGCTGGTGTCCCCGGAGCCGGGCGGCGGCGGCGAGGTTCCGGCCTGGGGGCTGGCGTCGGCGCCCCAGCTCTGCGGGGAGAAGCGATCGGCTCCCAGCACCTCCACCAGCGCGCGCTCCAGGCCGCAGTAGTTAAAGAAACGCTCCTTCTCGGACAGGGGCAGCGAGCACGTGGGGCACAGCGCCCGCTTTCCTGCCGCCTCCGGAGCATCCTGGGGCGCGGGCCAGCCCCCTGGGGCTGCGGGTCGCTCGGTGGGACCCGGGCTGCTCGGGGCAGCGTCCCGGGGGATGCCCAGAAAGAGGCGCCGCACCAGCCCTTGGCCCTTGGCGTTCTCTTTGTTCACGGAAGCCTTGCAGTCCCGCTTCTGGCGGTAGAAGATGAGGGAGTCCGGCCTTGGCTGCCGCCTGCCACTGCCCCGACGGGCCGGTCCAGGCGTCCTGGGCGATGCAGCGGACCCTAGCTCATTGCAGGGGTGCGGGGTGAGCGGTCCTGCGGCTCCACGCAAGGCTGGCTCCTGTCGCCGCACTATCACCTGGTGTGTCTTGACGTACTTGGCTTTATCGGCTTCCAGCCTCTCCACTGCGCTGGGGGTCCGTCCCCTGGATGGGGTGGAGGGAGAGGCCAGGAGCATCGTGGCAGAACTGGGCAGCACAGTGCCCCATAAGCCGCTGGACGTACACAGTCAGAGGAGCCAAGAGCAGTTAGCTGGGGCTTCCTGGGAGCAGCAAGGAGAGAAAAATGGTCAGGAAGAGGATGGGAGATGTTCCTGTCCGCCTTCTGGCACTCCTGGGCATAGGATCAGCTAGCCACCCTTCCCCCACCCAAGTCAAGTGGGTCCATGTCCAGGGAGCAGAGGCTCAGGCTATCTTCTCTTCCTGTCCTCAGAAATATTTGATGGGGACTCTCTGGCCACCCAAAAATATATGCCTCTTTCAGAGTGCCCCAGTGTGGCCACAGGGCCATGCACTCAAACTCAGCAGACAGGACACTTGGAAAAGGAAATGGGGCTGGTCCCTGCCCAATTCCCGAAAGTGGCCTTAACCGGAAAAAATACCTCTCCCAATCGGCAACTTTAAGCCCAAGACAAGGAGGCTCCGCAGCCACAGGCCGGCTCCAGCAGGGTCCACCCTTCCCGCCCCCAAGCACCGAGGTCAGGGATATAACCACAGGGTAGGAGCCTCCAGTAATTGCAGCCAACTGCCCTTCCCAGGCCCAGCAGGGCTATCCAGGAAGGAGAGGGAGGTGGTCCCCAGGTCATGTCAGCCAGCTACTGCCAGCCACTGTGTGCCCCTGCCAAGGGGATTCCTGAAAACCAAACTGTAAACATCCCCTTGTCCAACCCCAGCATTTCCATTTTATTGGCCAGAAAACTGGCCTAGAGAGGAGGGGGATTGCTCCAGTTCGAGAGTTAGGGGCCTGGACTGGAACCCAGGTCTCTCGCCTTACTGTCCAGAACTGGTTCAGATAGGATCCCTCACCTATTAGAATTTCCCTTTGGGATTCAGCTCTGGTTCCTGCTACTATCAAATCAAATCATTTCCATTAGAGATGAGCCCTTTGTCTTACTAAAAAGTTCCTTCCACTAATTCTTCCTAATAACCTACACTCACAGAAATCTGCCCTCCGGGTCCCTGCCCCCTTCTCACCCTGCGACCTCTGACCCTGCTCTTTCTCCTCCACCTCCCTCATGCTGGGGAGGGGGATGAGGAGGGATTGTAAATCAAAAGCTGACAGTTTCCTTGGCAGTTAACAGAATGGGCCACCCACATGGCTTAGCACACCCCACCTCTGTCCTGCTACTCCCCCATCCCACATTCAGCTGAGAGGGACCCATTAGTGCTGGACACTGAGGGGACCTTGGATCTGGAGGCCACAAAGGAACAGACTAGCCAGAGATGGGGCTCGTCTGGCAGCGAGGCTATGCTGGCAGTGTCCCCCACCTTCTCCTAAGGACTGTGCTGGGCAGCAGGTCTGATTCCAAGGTCCCAGGAAGGCACTATGCTTGCCTGACCTTGTGGGTTCCCTGTGTCCCCTCCTCTTCCCAGCCCTGAGTAGGGAAGCTATAAAAAGCCCCTAAACACAAGGACCAAAATAGTCTGTCTGGTGCCTCTTCCCTGGCTTTGATGGCTGGCCACAAACGAGCCAACCCTAGAAGCCTGATGTCTGTCCTTGTCCCGTCCATTCCTTTGCCTACCTCTCCTCATCCTAGAATTAGGGGTCCCAACTCAACTGGAGGCTTTACTCTGGACGTGGGCCAGCTTCCAGGCTCAGCGGCCAGGTGCCAGCCTCCCTGCCCTCTGCCTGTGGTGTGCGCCCACCCCAGCCCTGGGCCCAGGATGCACTCACCTCTGCGTGGGGAGGCTGAATTGCCAGGGTCCCTGAGCAGTTCCAGACTGAGGGCAGGAGGGACAGCAGGGACTAGAAGTAACTTTGGTGGCAGCCAAACCTCACTCTCCACAGGAAAAGCTGAGAGAGCCTCCACCTCCCCAGATTAACCCTTTCTGATCCAGAGCCTGGCCTCAGTTAACTCCTTCCTGATCACAGCCTCGGTGCTGAAGGGACCAGTGAACCAAGTCCAGCTCCTTTGTTTTATGGATGGGCAGACAGACCCTGCCGGGGTAAATGGTTGACCATGGAGGAAGTGTGAACTTGGGATTCTGCCAGGACCCCAAACAAGATCTCCTGATCCCCAGGCTCCCTCCAGAGGCCTGGAGTGAGGGTGCAACTCATGTGGGCCCCTCAGCTGGGCCTCAGCAGTGGCTCTCATTGAAGGGAAGCAGAACAGGGTTCAATTTTTCCCTTTGTGTCAGGCTTAGGCTTTTTCTTGACTGGGTGTTGGTGGTGGCAAGTCTGCTTTCCTCAGGGCTGAGTCCAGGAATCTGCAGCTAAGGGTGGGGGCAGTAGTGCTGCAGATGTGCAGGGCTGGGGAGTGGAGTGTCCCAGCAAGATTTGGCATGAGTGTCACCCAGGAAAGGCTTCTGGGCCAACCCTCTGTCCTTTGGCTTCCATTCTCCTCTTGTCCCACTTGGGGACTCCTAGGGTTGAGACAGTCTCTTCTTTGATGCCTCTTATCTCAAGAAGTTCTAACTACATGGGAGCTCCTTCTCCCCAGCAGGTAGACTCTCCAGCACCCAGAGTTGTAACACCAGTGAGGTCCTGCCCACCTCTAGCTCCCCTCCCTTTCTTCTTGAATTTTTTTTTTGAGGGTTGCTAGGGAGCAAATCCTGGGGTGTTTTAACTCTGAGCTACATCCCCAGCCCTTTTTATTTTTTATTTTGAGACAGGGCCTCGCTAAGTTGTGGAGGCTGACCTCAAATTTGCCATCCTCCTGCCTCAGCCTCCAGAGTATTGACTGGCTCTTCTAGCACTTCTTTCTATCTATCTATCTCTATCTATCTATCTATCTATCTATCTATCTATCTATCTATCTATCTATCTATCTATTGTGGTACTGGGAATTGAATCCAGGGGTGCTCTGCACTGCCGCAATCTGGATGGGCACAAATAACCGGGAGGTCACAAGCCACTTGTAGGTTCAAAACAGGAACTACTTTATTGCGAGAACCCCACGGGAACTTAATGGGAACTCAACGGGAACTCCTCGAGAACTCAAAAGTAGCGGGCACCCAAGGTAGCAGGAGCCGCCTTATTGCCGGACAGCAGAGGTTTATATACACAACTGAATACACAGCTTTTTTCAATTTAGCATCATCCAGTTACAGCAATCAGTCATTATCTTAATAATTATACACAGCTAAACTTAATTATCATCATCTTAATGGCTCACTGGTGTTACTTCTCAACCACTCCTTCTGGCAAAATGCCAGGCGCCATCTTGACTTGGTTGTGGCTCTCAACACTGCACAGAACTAAATTCCCAGTCTTATTTATTTATTTAGAGATAGGGTCCCACTAAATTGCCCAGGCTGATCTCAAAATTGAGATCCTCAACCAGGCGTGGTGGTGCATGCCTGAAATCCCAGTGGCTCCTGAGGCTGAGGCAGGAGAATTATGGGTTCAAAGTCAGTCTCAGCAATTTAGCAAGGCACTTAGCAACTCAGCAAGACCCTGTCTCTAAATAAAATATAAAAAAGGGGCTGGGGATATGGCTCAGTGGTTAAGCACCCCTGGGTTCAATCCTCAATACCAAAACAAAAAACAAACAAAAAAACATTGAGAACCTCCTCCCTCAGCTTCCAGAGTTGCAGGAATTAAAACTGCACCTGGCTGTGCAGGACATTTCTGTATTGTGTTGTTAACTTTGTGGAGTAGGTTTTATTATTTCTCCCATTTACAGCTTAAGAGACTGAAACTTGGAGAGATCAAATAACTTACCCAAGCTCACACACCAAGGAGTAGTAGCTAACTTTTACTAGGAGATTAGTTCATGCTGGGAGGCCTTCTAAAGACTTCACACAATGATTAAAATATTTAATCCTCCAAATAATTCAGTGAAGTGGCTTTTTCATACCGGCAGCCCCTGGTATGGGCGTGAAGGGGTTAAGCCCTGGGAGGCTGGGCAGGGCCCAGCTGGGATGCTGTCAATGGCAGGAAACCTGGCCTGCCAGGGGAGGACGGGCCGGGTGTCTGACAAGGCAACCCCCATCCCTTTGGTCTTAAAGGAGCATCCGGGTTGGGTGGAAAGGCAGGAGGTGGGGGCTCACTGCTCTGTTCTGGGGATCAGGATGGATGCTAGACTTCAGAAAGAGGGAATGGGGGGGGGCACTACAGGTGCTGCCCAGACAAAGTGACTCCCTCGGTGAGTTAGAAGTGGCAGGCCACCCTCAGGAGTGCTGTCAGAGAGGAGAGATGACAGTCCTGCTCTGGGAGCCCCCGAGGCCGAGGGCAGTGACACCACTCTGCCCTTGGGAGCCCCCAGAGCTGGGTGAGGGGGGTTCCAGAATCTTGCTCTCAGCACCTGTCCCAAAAAGCCAGTGGATTAGTCCTGAGGGACAAGCAGACCCCGGGCCACACAGGCAGAGCAGGGACCTGGGGGAGAGATCAAATGGAAGGGGCCTTCTGGGGGAGGTGCTCTGAAAGTGTCATGGGGGGGGCGGAGAGGAGGGACAGGTTGAGAGTCTGTCTCTCAGCAGCCACACTTGCTGTGAGCAGGGTCATTTCTCTCTCTGGTCATGGGTCCCCAGGGAGATCCCTTAAAGTGGCTCCTTCCGGCCCTAGAGCTGGGACTAGGAGGTGGGGGGGTGTGAGGGGGAGGCCATGTCTGGGGGATGTTTCCTTCCTATTTCCGACCTCATTCCCGGCACCTTTGTGGGTTGGGAATGGGCCAGAATCAGTCAGCTCCTTTTAGGAGGGAGGAGGATGGAGGAGCAGAATGATGAGAAAGGTCCGGAAGGCCCTCAGACCCCACACTCACATTGTCACAGAGGGATACGTGTCCCCTCCCTCACCAGCCAGACATAGCTCCCAGGCCACAGCCACTCACACCTCAGTCCTGCCCTTGATTCTAATCCTGGCCTCCCACTCACCTACTGTGTGGCCTCTAGTGGGAGTTTAACCTCTCTGGGTGTCCTTTCATGTCAAATGGGATCGGTGGGACTTTGCTCTGGTGTGGTAAGCGGATGCCAAGCAGTGGGGGACTGAGAGAGCACCCTGCACCTGGAAATGTCCGTGGACCTGACCCTCTTTGGCCCTCCCAACACCTTCCTGGCATCTCTGGCC